AATGACCAATTTAAATTTCGCCACAACGTGATGTGGCTGATTATGTGGCTTTATTTATCATTATTATCATATTCCAATTTTCCATCATGGCACTAGCTTTAAATAAGATTTTCCATAACAAAACAATTAAACAATCCTACGTACTTAGGATTGTTCCCTGTTCCATATCTAACATTTCCTTAAGAATAAAACAATAATTGTGAAAGAAATAAATTAGAAATCCTGAGAATCAAAGGCTCTCATAAATTCGAGGCTTCGACCGTGAAAACCTCTGGCTTTCGCGACTTTCTTTTGACCTTCACGATCAGAGCCTACTCCGCAGACGACCGACGGCAGTCTGCACTCTCCAGGTGAGTATATACAAAGATGCACATGGATATAAAGATTAAAAAGGAGGCTTGTCAGTTTCATCAAAGATGTTCATATATCAATAATCATGCAATACAAAAAATAAATAAATAAATATATATGCTTGAGAAAAAATTGAAAGTAAGAAATATTGTGTGTTATGCTCTGTTAGATATCGATAAGAAAGAACTTGGAAGGTTAAAAATGAATTTAATTTGATATGAAATACCTACTCGTTGAATAATTTTCATATAGTGCCAGGCTTGATGGAATGAGTGAAAGAACATTGTTTAGAGTTAACAGTAGCTACTTCTTCCCCTGGCAAGACTGAAAGTTGGGTCATATTATTATTATTATTATTATTGTTATTATNTACCAGATTCTTGCATATCTTAAGATTATGAGTGTGATATTGGCACAGGTTGTAAGATTGAACCTTTTGGTTGTTTATTAACTTAATGACATGATTTTTAAAAACGATAGATTTTGGATATGCACATTGTTGTGATGTCTCTTGTTGTGACTGCATAAAAAAGAGGCTGAACTTCTGTACAGTCTGAACGATAACTTTTTAAGAAAGATTGAGGCATCATTTTGGTATAATAATGATGTGCTTGGTAGAGCTTAATGGAGAGCAGACAAATTTATGAAATAGGATGTTAGGGCTGGCTTTGTTGATATGCTTTTTTTGTTCATCTAATTTATTATTATTGTTATTTTTTTTTCTCTTGCAATCAGCTTGCCTAATGTCGATGCAAAAGTTTGTGGCGCACTCCAAAACTGGAGATGAAAACGATGAAGATACTAGCCGGTCATTTGATGATCAAATTAACACGAGTTTAGCTGGTAAGTCATGATTATATATTAATCAATTTAATAACTTGGAATAATTTGTAAAGACTTGATCTTTCATATTTAATCTCAGATGGATGCGAAGCCTGTAATGATTATATTCCCCAGGTTGCATTAGCTTCAATTCCTCATGAAAATCAAAGTTTCCGAACATTGGATGAAGCTAAAGACTTCTATATTGCTTATTCCAAAGAAAGTGGTTTTAGCGTCAGAGAAAGAAATGACAGAAAAAACCACAAGCAAGAAGTCATATGGAAAATGTTCGTCTGTTATAAGGAAGGGACGAAGAATATGAGATACCAAGAAAAAGTTAAGCATGTTGTTCAACGAACTGGAGAACGGGAAAGAGGAGATGTTAGATGTAAGTGTCTGGCTAGGATGACTGTAAGCTGGAAAAAAGATGAACAACTTTGGAGAGTTTTAAAATTTAATGAGAAACACAATCATCCTCTTACCAGTCCAAGCAAGGTGCACGCTTTAAGAGTCCATAGGGATGTCTCACCTGCAATAAGGTCCCTTGCTGTCGAGTTTAGAAATGCCAATTTGAGAACATCTGATCTCCGGAGGGTTCTCGAAAGTGATGCTGGGGGTCCTGATAAAATAGGTTGTCTAGAAAAAGACTTGTACAACAATGCTTCAAAAGTACAAAATGTGGTCACTGGACATGATGCTGAAACGTTAATTGGCCACTTTGAGACGGAGAAGACAATATGTGAGTCTTTCTATTTTGCTTATGAAACTCATGAGTCTGGTAATACATTTGATCGTTGTTACTGGTGTGATGAGCATGCAAGAAATTCTTTTGGTTGTTTTTCAGAGGTGGTGGTATTTGACTCGACATTTGGCACTAACAAATATGGAATGTTTTTTTGCCCCTTTGTTGGAGTGAATAATCATAACCAGACTATAGTTTTTGGCTGTGGTCTTTTGAGTAATCAGCGAGCTGAATCATTTTCTTGGTTATTTTCTCAGTTTCTCAATTCGATGCCAGAAAAACGTCAACCGGGGATGTTTATAACTGACCAAGATGCGGCTATTGCAGTGGCAGTTCATGAGGTATTTCCAGACACTGTGCACAGACTTTGCTTGTGGCACATACTTTCCAAGTTTCCGGAAAAAATAAATATCGCCATGCATGGAGATGACAAAACCAAATTGGTGCATGTTATCATGGACTCAGATGATCCCGAGGAGTTTGAGTCTCGATGGTCGGAGTTGATGAGTACTACCTCTTTGAGTCAGAATAAATGGGTGAACGATATGTACACTATTCGGGCAATGTGGATCCCTGCATATTTGAAAAATATTTTCTCAGCAGGAATGTCGTCTTCACAACGTGCTGAAAGCAATCACTCTTTTTTTAAGAAATATTTGAGTCGTGACTGTTCACTCAATGACGTGTTTACGCGGTTTAGGAATGCAATTTCGAGTCAAAGGCATAAGACTTTATTGCTAGACCATGCCGACAAAAATGAGAAACCGTCGTTGAATTCTACACAACCCATGGAGCGTCAGTTGTCGACAAGGTATACGAGGACAATATTTAAAAAGTTTCAAAAACAATTGAAGGTTTTGCCAGAGTACATCAGTAATCTCGTTGAAAAAAATGATGTAGTTTGTGTTCATGAAGTGTTCCCATTTAGTGGATCGAATTTGAAGGATAAAACTTATCGGGTGGCACAAAATGTTTCAACAAACTTTCTTTCATGTAGTTGTCGGAAATTCAATGATATGGGGATTCCATGCAGGCACATGCTATATATGATGCAGGTAATCTTTTTTGTCAATTTATTGTATGTACTAATTTAAAAACACAATTTTAATATGCATCTCATTTTATTTTATGTTGCTTTTTTATACAGGTTATGCAAATCAAGTTGTTGCCCGAAGAATATATTTTGTCTCGTTGGACGCAAAAGGTAGGATCACCAGTTTCTTTTCAAACGGTGACTTCTCCACTCACCCAAGCACGAGGATATTTAGAGCGTAGCCGAGGGTTGTCTGAGAAGTGGAAATGGCTGATCGAAAAGGCTGCTTTGACCGAGAAATCTACTATAATGTTGCATCAAATGTTTGAAGAAGCAGAAAAAAAGTTAAAAGAGAATGAAGTTGTGACCCACATTGATACACAAGAGTCATTCTCGGGAAAAGAGCAGAAAGGTGAGGGTTTTGTAAGTGATCCAACAACTAATCGTGTAGTCCATGGCCGTAAGCGATTACTAAGTATGCGAGATAAGGCAATTAAAAGTGGAGGCAAGCATTGTCGCAATTGTGGCAAAGTTGGTCATAATGCCCGTACATGTCCTGAAAATAAAGGCAAAGACAGGTAATGTAATATTCTCATTCCTTTAAAAGAAATTTATTTTTAATTTTTATTCTTGTATCGTCTTTTGTTCATCTTGTAGAATTGCTGATGAAGTTGAGCCGTATCGCCCGTCACCTTTATCAAATAATATCATAGTCGAGGACAGTCAACAAATGGCGGTTCGAGATATGATCGACAATGTGGATGAGGGATATGAGCATTTGGCGTTAATTGAGTTTTAACTTACAGTTCTATCTTTGTGAACAATATAAATCGCAGTATTTATTTTTCAGATATTGACTGATGGAATTTTGTTGAAAAAGGCATTTTTTGTTCTATGATAATATGTTGATCATTGTTTCGGATTATATCGAAATTTGTTAAAAGCTTTTATCTGAAATGCAAGCTAGCAGTATGCATATGCTTGTGTTTGGTTAACTTGCTGCTTTATTTGAGAATTGAGATTGATAAAAGTTAATAATTCAACTATGTGAAGAGTTTCTACAAGCTGAATGAGTTGGAGAGGGGTTTTGAATTTTTGTATCTGTTTTAGATTTGACTAATTTGTAATGCATCTTCAGGTAGTCTCACTTTTCAGTTTCTAGATTTTGAGTTAAAGAAAAATTATAATATGATCTTATTTTGTAAGAACTGTTAGTACAGATTGCAAAAATTTACACAGGTTGTGATATTGGTAGCTAAACAGGTACAGGGATCAAACATTAAATCTGGTATATCAAAAATAGTTAGACCATTGCCTTGTAACTTTACAGTGGCAAACAGAAAAGAAGTATTAAAGCAATTGATCCCATATAACTAACTATGATGTGGTTTTATAATCATCATGTTAAAATTGATATAATTTGACCAATGAAATATTAAAATTTACAAGGATTCTCTACTCCCAATGGCAAAACATTATTACAATGGTAAATTCACCAAAGCTTCAAATTTCAGCAAAACAAAATTTAAAAAAAAAAAAAAATTTAAGATACAATGAAATAACCATATTCTTAACATACAACTGGCTCATATTCTCTCTAATTTACAGATTATTTTACAGATTATTTTATAGATTGGATGATTTGTTGTGTAGTGCATAGTATTCTTGTGATTCCTATTTCCTCTACAGTCATGCAGCAACTCACCAAGCAGAAAATCAAGAAGATGCTCGAAAAAAATACCATTGCAATTCATATCACTAATCTTGTACAAATATCAGGAAGTTTACACCGAAACCCAAGCAAATACGAAAATCTACATCATACATCTCTCAACTTCATCCCATACATTTTTTTTTGGCAACTTAAAGAAAGTATCAACAACGAGAAGGGTAAAGCCAAAAGAAGAAGAAAAGAAAAAAAAAATGTTGATCTTTTCAAGCTTTCATAACAATCAATCTTCTTCTCAAATTTCTCACATCAACAAACCTTGATTTTCTTAAACAATCCCACAATCTCCTTCACTTCATCCCCCCACACTGATTTACAGTCACCAAGCAAACCCCATCACTCCTCACCATACCAACATGGGTAAAGGGCCCAACCAGGTACAACCCGAGCCCGAGATCAAATACCCCATCAAATAATGGCAGGTTGTGGGGATCCACCCGACAAACCAGAGGCGGCGAGCCCACCAGCCCCACGTCCCCTGTGTGTAGCCACCCGCCCCTCATCCGAAGGCCGCCCGCGTGGCACCCTCATCCTTCAGGTACCCTTCATGACCCCGCTCCCCCTCACCGCGACCTCCCCAATTTTTTTCCCGTCCCGCGACACCGAGGGAGGAATGAAGGCGACGGCTATTCGCAAAGTCCGAGTCTGGGTATGGGCGAGTTAAACAGGCTATTCGCAAAGTCTGATCAGCTTGTTTGGAGGTGAGAGGGACTGAATACGATGGTTTATGGGTGGCAACGAAATTGATTCTCCCCTTTCTGCAAAGCCCTAGAAATGTGATTTGGGGATTAGAATATGTAGCTTCTGTGTTGATAGTTGGGGAATTTTTAACCAACAAAAAAAGAAATTGACATGTTTGAATTGAGAGATATAATTAATAAAGCCACATCACTAAGCCACATCATAATGTGGCATGGCTTATGGTGCCCATTAGGGTACCATAGAATTTCTGCTTTTCTTATGTCAATTTCGTTGAAATCGCGGAAGTAACCACAAAATCAGTTCATCTTTTCAACCTAAATCGCAGACCCAAAACACTGTGTCGATCTAATCTCTCAATTTCAACCTAAAAACTGAATCAATTTCAAGAGGGAATAGGAATAAATCTTGCGCCATTCATGACGTATGCCACTTGGTGCTCGAAATTGTCGGCGAGGACGAGGACGGAGTCGGAGATCGTGCGTTATCTGGAGGTCGACTAGTCGGTGGAGGGTGAGGTTGTGGGTGGTGTGAGCGGACGGCCGACTCTGCAGCGTGGGGGAGCAGGTGGTGTGGTCGAGGGACAACCACTTTTCGATGGAGGTCCGGTGGTCGGTCACGCCGGTGCAAAGGCTCGGTAGAGACATCATCATGCCCAGAAGCTCGCCGGCTCAGATTTCTGCAATTCTTTCTTGAACCAGATGCGGAGCCACGAGATGCTGGCCAAGTTCCTCCAAGCCGCAGATGGAGATGGTGATCTACGGCATCAGCAACATTGGGGCTTCTTAGTGAACTGCCTTCTAAAGACTTCTTAGTCAATGAAAGATTCATTCGAGCCATTTGGATGCTGCTCGAGCTCGTTGTCCTGATGAAGAGGAGATTTGACTGGTGTTTGCCCGATTATCTTATCGAGAACTGCCACGTTAGCAGAAATGGCGAGTCGTGGGATCAGAGGATCGATAAAGTGCCCATCCGACTCTCGACCCTTGAGACCGACTTATAATGGAGAGAGTCGAGTACATGCTCGACGTGGAATACAAAATGTTCAGCCTCAGGAGGAGCAAGGAGAATTTCCACCTCATAATGTCTCTGCTTTCCTGGATATGGGATTTGGTTAGGATGAGGCATGATAGGTTGAGAGTGGCTGGTTAGGATGAGATGAATTTCCACCTCATAATGTCTCTGCTTTCCTGGATATGGGATTTGGTTAGGATGAGGCATGATAGGTTGTGAGTGGCTGGTTAGGATGAGATATGATAGGTTGAGGCTTGTGGAGAGACTTAAGTGTAAGTATTAGCATAAGTTCATGTTGAGGTAACAATGATTAGTTGAGCATTGTAATTGCGGTTCTACTATGTATATGCATTATGTACTATGTCATTTGGTCTTTTTGGTTGTACAAGGAATATGACATATTGGATTTTGCTTACAAGGTGCTTGTGTAAAATGGCTGAGTGCTTTGATTTGTGTTATTTGTCTGGTTTTGACTGAAAGTTGCGCTGCATTTTTGTTCAAGAATGCTAAATAAAGTTAATATGAAGATGATTTAACAGGTTTGAGTTGGGACTCTGTACTTTGTGCTGTACTTTGTGCTGGTGTTGTGGTGAATGGAGTATGTGATTCGAAGCCTGAATTCAATGGGAAGCTGTTTCCAAACCTGGGCTTTGCATATCTCCTTGTCGGATGTTTTTCCTATATATCTGCCTTGGCTTTATCATATCGGGTGCAATGGAATATTGTCCTTCATTTTCAGGATGCTCCAAAACAGAAACAGGTCTAGAGAATTATTACAGGAGCAAAAAACATTCTCAAAGACATTGAAATATTGTCCTATATATCTGAATTCAATTTTCAGCTGCAATTGGAATATTGTCCTTCATTTTCAGGATCCTCCAAACAGAAACAGGTCTAGAGAATTATTACAGGAGCAAAAAACATTCTCACAGACATTGACATTGTTCATCGACACTGGATATAATTTTTTTTTCTTTCCTTTTTTCCCTGGCACTGCTGCTTACCTTTTTTTATTTTTTCCGAAACGGATAAATGATTCACTTAAACGAAACTTCGAAAGCGTACAACGGCATACAAGTGAATGCAATCCAAACTCCCTACTACCAACCTAGCAGGAATCAGGAGACGGGTAAACCAGAAAAGGCGTTGTCCCATAAGAAACGAACCAAACACTAAGCAAGAAATTTAAAGAAAAACAAAAACACCGCCAAGCACCAAAATAGCGGCCCTACAGAACTAGCCAAAACAAACAGGCAAAAGCCAAAAAAACAAACAAAACTACGGATAAGAGAAAAAAAATAAAATAGGACCAAAAAGAAACATCAAGATAGAACCAAAAAGAGCAAAAAAACAAAATAGGACCAAAAAGAAAAAGAGGAAGAACAAGCCAACAGCACCCAGCAAAAGCAAGACTTTGCCCTAACTTAGCTAGAGTCAACTGAATCTAACTTTGTGAAGTTGTGCTCCTTCAGATATTTGTTTAATGAAAAAAACAAAAACCATAAGACCATCAAAGCTAAAACCCGTTAGATTCAAACAAAAACAATGAAACTATAAATCATGAAACCCATTGGATTCATAAATTCTAAATTCAATAACTTCTTCATTCAATGTAAACAAACCATTAACAAATACAAAAAACAACCGTCAACGAACAAACAGCTCTAAATCCCTTCACCAAAAACCTAAGAAAAATGAAAAAAAAAAGAAGTCAAAATCATCACCAGAAATCCGGAACTCACTAGACCTTCTTGTGCGAATTTTAGGGGAACTCTCCGTCAGGCGAGGGTGAGAACTCCACCGGCAGCTGTGGGTCCGCCAATCCCATAACAGCAGTCCCACCACCTCCCACCATCGATCGCCTACGAGATAATATATATTATAAATAAAGAGAATAGGAAAAAAAAATCAACTAAAGCAAGAATACATTAGAAATCAAGTATATTTTCACATACCAAAATAAAATGAGATTTACAGATAATCAAATGTCAAGGCCCCAATCAGCGTCGTCACTCCCATTATTAGAATTGTGGTTCTTTTGAGAATCTTCTTCACTGCTACAATAGTCAACCAAAGTGTCATCCAACTCATCTTCGTTCTCGATGTCATCTAGGCGTACAACCTCACCAACTTCATGTGAGCTTTCTATTATTGTATCGGCAATATCTTCGAGATCTATGTCCTTCCTATTCAGCAACTCTATTTCATCAAGACTAATGGTAAGCACATCATTTGCATCATTCGCCTGATATACTTCATCTTCCACAGCCAAGATATCATCAACATCCATTTCTTCATCTTGCATTTCATCAACATCATAAACATGCCTATGTTGGAATGGTTGTACTACTCGCCAATCATTTCCTAATTTAGGATCCTTGATGTAAAAAACTTGTCTTGCTTGATTTGCTAGTATGCAAGAATCATTCTCATACCACTTTCTACAAACTCTAACGCTCACAATATTTCCGTCCTTCTGTATCCCTGGTCTTTTTTTGCACCCAAGATCAAACCAATCACATTTGAAAATGGTAACATGCCTATCTTTCACATAATCAAGTTGAATTATCTCGCTCAAGACCCCATAAAAATCAATGATATCTCCTCCATGGTTACCTTCTACTACAACCCCACTATTCTGAGTTTTACGCCTATTATCACGTTCCTTAGTTAGAAACCTTACTCCATTTACAATGCAGCCGGAATATTTTCTCACACATTTTTTAGGTGCACAGGCCAGGGCATATAAAGACTCATGTGATTTAGATGGTTCTTCATGATATAACAAGGTCATCTGAAAAATACAAATAAAATTCTTAAAAATATAATGGAGTTAACTAAAAAAATAGAGATATATAATTAACAAGATAACTTTACATGTTTTTTAAACCATGCAGGAAATAGATCTTTGTAGCTTTTATCTATATTTTCACAACCACCCAATAGAAGTTCCTCCTTGTGCTTCCTACAACAAGTAACAATATATATGTGTTAGAAAATTATAAATACTTATATGTTATATGTTGTCTTTTGTGCGTAAGATATAATCACTGACTTACTCAAGATATGGTTCAACCTCTTCACAATTTTGGAAGACAAACCATTGAGTCATATTAAACTCCTCTTCGGACAATTCCACAAAGCTTGCTGCTCCAAAATGCCGACATTTTTGTGAGAAAATCGATAGGCTATCATCAAGCATGACATCAACATTTCTCTCATCTCTATTAAATCTAGTTTCAATTCCACGCAAATACATAGAGCAAAAAGTCAAGCACTCGTTTGCTATGTACGCTTCTGCAACTGAACCTTCTGGATGATCTTTATTGTGCACGGTTTGCTTCAAATCACCTAAAAACCTGTAAAATTTAATAAAATGTATTTTACATTACAATCAATCAAAACATTATCCGAATTTATAAAGATAAGAGATACCATAGTTTAACTTATTACCTTTCAATGGGATACATCCATCTAAACTGAACGGGGCCACCGAGCAATGCCTCATTGGGTAAATGAATAGACAGATGAACCATGACGTCAAAGAAAGCAGGAGGGTATATCTTTTCAAGTTTACACAATATAATGACTATATCTTCTTTCATTTGCTCTAGTTCAGTTTTTTTCAGCTTCTGGCAGCACAAACGTTGAAAGAAATAACCCAACTCTGCTAATACGTCACACAATTCCTTATTTAATGACCCCCGAATTCAGTGGGAATTATTCGTTGTAAAAGTACATGACAATCATGGCTTTTCAATCCAGATATCTTTTGATCACGCGAACTCACACAACGAGAGATATTTGATGCATACCCATCTGGAAATTTTACGGACTTTAGAAACTCACAAAACTCCTGCTTTTCTTTTTTATTCATAACATAACATGCAACAGGCATATTATATTTTCCGTCACTTCTCTTGGTTAAGTGCAGCTCCTTTCGAATTTTCATATCTTCCAAATCTTGTCTTGCCTTGACGGTGTCTTTCGTTTTTGAATCTAAATTCATCAAGGTTCCTAATATACTCTCACATATATTCTTCTCAATATGCATTACATCTAAGTTATGTCTTAACTTCAACTTACTCCAATAAGGCAAATCGAAAAGAATGCTGCGCTTTGTCCAGTTCAATTCCTCCGGCTTTCTTTTCCTCTTTTTGCTGCTATGCTTTCCTGGATTCGTTTTTGGTATTCTCTCCAATTGCATTAATATGTCATCTCCTGTTAAATCTCTAGGTGCTTCGCTATCTTCTCTCTTCCCATTGAATTTCTTACTTCTTCTCCAAGCATGATCTTTCGGTAAATAACGTCGGTGCCCCATGTAACATATCTTATTTCTCAATCTCGAAGAAAAAGTGTTCTCATTACAAACTGGACAAGCCATATACCCTTTAGTACTCCACCCAGATAGATCGCCATATGCTGGAAAGTCATTTATCGTCCACAAAACAGCAGCATGCAATTGGAAATTTTCTTTACGGGAGACGTCATATGTTTCTACTCCATTAACCCACAATTCTTTCAACTCTTCAATTAATGGCTGTAGGTAGACATCAATATCTTTTCCTGGTGTGTTCTTCCCTGGAATAAGCAACGACAACATAAAATATGGTTGCTTCATACAATCCCAAGGGGGGAGATTCAATGGGGCGAGAATCACTGACCACATGCTATAAGTGGAGCTCAAGTTTCCAAATGGATTAAAACCATCTGCAGCTAAAGCTAGTCTGATATTTCTGGGATCATTTGCAAACATAGGAAACTCTCTATCAAAGTCCTTCCATGCCATAGAATCTGCCGAATGCCTCATGTAATCATCATCAATGCGTTTTTCCTTATGCCAGACCATCTTATTAGACGTTTTGCGAGATATGAAAAGTCGTTGAAGTCTGGGTGTCAATGGGAAGTACCTTAAGATCTTTTGTGGTATCTTTTTGCCTACACCATCATTGACTTTTCACCGAGAAGTTTTGCAAATAGGGCAAATCTCCAATTTCTCGTTCTCCTTCCAAAATAAGGCACAATCGTATTTACAAGCATGGATGCATTTATATCCTAATCCTATATCTCGCAAAAATCTTTTGGCTTCATAACAAGAATTTGGAAGTGTCTCGCCATCAGGAAAAGATAACTTCATTAACTTCAAAATCATATCTATTGTTTTATTACTTAGTCTATTATACACTTTCAAGTGGAGTAATTGGATGATAAATGAAGTCCTTGAAATCTTTTTACATCCTGGATACAACTCTGTCTTCGCATCCATCATCAATGACTCGAGATATGCTGGAACACCATCCGTACTACTGTTATTATTTTTGGAATTCGTACTGGTTTGATATTTCTCTGCAAATTCAAATAGCATGTCACTAATACCATCGTCTTCATCTTCAACTTCATCTTCATCATTGTGATCTGATGACTCTCTGTTGATTCCATAACTAGCACTAGTATATGAACTTCCTGGATTATTCGAACGTAGTTCACCATGATAAAACCATGTGATGTACCCCGGATCCATCCCACGCATCATGATATGACTTTTACTGTTTTTTGATCTTTCATTGATAAATTCAGGCAATCTGTACAGGGGCATCGAATATCACATTCATTTCCCATATGAGATTCAACAAACTTCATAAATGTGTTTACTCCATTCAAGTAAACTTCAGACCATTTAGCTTCTCGCATCCAACTTTTGTCCATTTCTTGCTCAACTTAAAACAAATCATATAAAAAAATAAATCATAATGTTTTCTCCCAGATTAAACAAAAAAAAAAAAAACTTGTACCTTGTAGAGACTTGAGATGGAATTGAGAATTTGGGAGGGAGACGAAAAATTGGGACGCCCTTGACTGATAACCCTCTCTACTAGACTACTACACAGTATACTCAAGCAGAGGCTTCTTGACGAGTGAGAGCTGAGATCAGCGGAGGAGACGACTGGGACCTGGGGTTGGAGAATATTTGGGGGTCTGGGGAGATTAAGGATTAGGAAACGATTTGAGCCTGAGGCGATTAAAATTTCAGATGAACTAAGAAGATAAAGATGAAATTTTGAGAAAACTGGAGACGAGCGGGGCTGCGGGGTTAATTCTGTGCCTTCTTATTTTGCCTTTCCTTAAAATGTTTGTTAGTTACAATAATAATAATAATAATACCATATTTACTATATCATATGTATAATTTATTCAATTAATAATATTTTTGTATGTAAAATATATGTAAAAAATGTAATAATATTTTTATGTTTATAAGAAAATTTAAAAAAGTGAATTTCCAATCGAATCGTTTATATACCCTTGTCTTAAGCGAATTGAATATGAACCATGCATTAATTTTATTGTAAATCGAATACGAATAAGAACAACATAAGTTTAGAATCAAAGCGAACCGTATTCGATTTACAACATAATAAGAATAACATAATTTTATATATGTTATTCTTATTCGTATTCAATTTACAATAAAATTAATGCATGATTCTTATTCAATTCGCTTAAGACAAGGGTATATAAACGATTCGATTGGAAATTCACTTTTTAAATTTTTTTAAAAACATAAAAATATTATTACATTTTTTACATATGAATATATTACATACAAAAATATTATTAATTGAATAAATTATACATATGATATATTAAATATGATAGTATTAATATTATTGTAACTAAAAGTAGTCGATATGCCTCGATTTATTTTTTCGCCGGTTCGCTTTGATTTTCGATTTCCGTTTTTTCGCCTATAATTTTTTTTTTAAATTCTATACATAATTTTTTGAATAAGAATAACATAATTTTTTTTCTTAAAATCTATACATATATAAAAGTAGTCGGTACGTCTTGATTTATTTTTTTGCCGATTCGGTTTGCTTTTTGATTTTCTTTTTTATTTTATTTATAACCATGAATGTTATATATAAAGGAGTGTTTAATAATATTTAGAGTCACCTTTTTAAATTATTTTTTCTCATTTCCAAAGTTATGATTTTTATTTTATTTTATATTTTTAATTACTTTCTCTTCTGTTATGTCGCTTTTCGTGCAAATGCACGGGGTAAAACTAGTATATATTAAAAATACACTTTTCAATTAATTAAAAAATCAAGTATTATTAAGCATGAAAATTAATTGAAGTTTAATTATTACTATATATGTTATTAAGTAATTTAAAAATACTCAAATTATATGATTAAAGTTGACATATATAAGATCTATGAACAAGACACATCTAATATAATGATAATTTGTTTCTTAATTCAGCCCGGTATGATGTGGGACTGATTGGTAGAATTTGGTTCTCGGTACGTATGTTTGTTAAATCTCAAGAATCATACCAAATCATTTATATTTCGTTTCGAAATCAAAGAAAGTTAAATGGTTAACGAATATATTTCGGCTCTTAGTCGAGCTAACAAAGTTTGAATCTCAACTGAAGAGAACTTAAGACCAGTGTTCTAAATACCGGCCGTTACGATAATTAAAACATGGCTTAAGATAATCTGAAGCGATTGGATTAGACAAATTACGATATTTAAAACATGGCTTAAATTGTGGAGATCGAATATGTTGCACGTTTGATGTCTATGACTGTTCTGAGATATGATTTCTATTTTTTCAAGGTTTACAGAACTAATATATTTTTAAATTATATAAAATATTTAATTAACAAATTATTATATAAAATATTATGTCATATGCTTATTAAACTTATTTTTTTATATTTTTTTTGCAATATTATTAAACTTATTAATAGCCTAAACTTTCTAAAGTGCCATTAAGAATCCAAATTATACCAATTAAGTTTTTAAGTGTATGATATGAAAATCCTTCTCATTCTTATCACTCAGCAAAAAATGTCGGGCAATGTCTCTACCACACCAATTGTCTTTCCCCAATTTCAACCTAACTTGCAGACCAAAGCCACTGGTTCGATCTCATCTCCTAATTGCAACCTCTGAATCAATTTCACGAGGAAATAGGAATTCAATCTAGAATTCGATCTCATTTCCCAATCTGATTTCCCAATTGGTGCTCGAAATTGTCGGCGGGGACAAGGATGTAGGCGGAGATCGTGTGCTATCTGGATGTCGACGAGTCTTGCATCTATGCCCCACTACCCAAAGCCAGTCCATTTTTATTCGCAACACAAAATCCCAAGCAGCAAGAAACTATTTTTATGAAAGCATTGATTGTGCATCTATTCATTTTTCAGGGGGTGGGTTGAGTTATTTGATATGGATCCAGTTCCGTGGTTTGATAATTTCCTATGGAACCATGATTTACTTATGATCATGGGCTGTGAATGGAGCAAGGTTTTTGCAGCAGTTCTTTGGCGCTTATGGAAGCGACGGTGCGAGGTTGTTTTTGAAGTCGGTGGAGGGTGAGGTTGGGGGTGGTGTGAGCGGACGGCCAAGTCTGCAGCGTGGCGGAGCAGGTGGTGTAGCCGAGGGACAGCCACTTCTCGATGGAGGTCCGGTCGTGGGTCACGGTGGTGCAGAGGCTCACCAGAAACCTCATCACGCCCATGGTGATCGGGCACAACAGGTACCTGTTGTATACAATAGAAATTAAAAAATTGAAAAGAAAATTATAATTTTTATCTACCAAAACAATTAGCGGGACAAAAATTTTTGGCGCTCAAAATTTCAGCTTAATTAGGAATTTATTTATCTAATCAGGGTATAGAAACAAAGGGTTTAATGATTTCGTGCCTCCGTCAATCTCTCCCTTTTTTATTCTGCTCAAGTATATATACCCAAATAGGTTTTACTTAGCAATACATCAAAAAAAATAGTTGCAAAACACACGCCTCCCTACAATCTTTTCCTGGTGAAGTTTCTTCATCGTTTATGTATAAAATTTGTGTTTTTACAGATATTTTTAATTGGATCACCTTTATTCTGATTCTATCTTTGTATAATCAAAATATGTGACTCTATCTTTGCATAATTATAATAGCTGAAGGTGTGAACTTTTGTGTTTCATATTCTGTTTCATATTCTTTTTCATATTTTGATTCTGTGTTTGTATAATTATAACAGTTGAAGGTGTAAACTTTTGTGTTTCATATTCTGATTCTATCTTTGGCTCCACCTTATTCTGATTCATTTTCTGATTCTATCTTTTCCTGGTGATGAAGTCTATATTTATCTGTGATGTATAAAATTTTTGTTTTTACATATTTTTTTTTCATCTTTTATACACATAAAAGGCAACTGAAGGTGTAACGTTTTGTTTATTATTAAATCTTACATGTGTTATTTTCTCAGTATCTTTCATATTCTGTTCTTAGGGAATTCTAAGAACTATATATATATATATATTGAGTCATAACGTGTATAATCACCATTGGAATGCGTAAGTTAACTATATGTGTTCTTTTTTCAATAAATAGGCATTTTCTTTTTATGTATTTCTTAGTTCTTCAAAATTGGTTTTGCAGTGATAAAATTTTTGTTGTCATATGTAGATTTCTAAGAATGGCGCCAGGAATCCGTAAAACTCAAATTATTTCAAAAGCTGCTCTACAAAGCATGCTTAACCAAGCTACCAAGGATAGCTCAACTGCTGCATCAGCTCGTATTGGAGTCAGAGAACATTTTAACCAATCAAATGTGTCATCTGCTGGAGTGACTGGAGCAAGTGGAACTACTGAAGTTCATCATGGTTCTTCCGGAGAAGGTGATAATACTACAACAAATCACACTAATGAGAGTGGCATTCCACAAACCCTTGAAACTCCCAACCCAAATCAGAATTTGAATGCAGCTGAAGGCTCAACTGGTAACCTTCAGGATACATCAGTCACAGGTACAGGTACAATATGTTCTTTACTTAGGATAGCTGTTGGAATAGTTGGAGGTACAATGTGTTTTTTACTTAGGATAACTATTGGAATAGTTGTTGTTTTTGGTGAATAGTGGCTGTTAATGTTATTTTCGTCATGTTGGACTTTGTTGCTTTTGCTCCAGTGAATAATTAGTTGCTGTTGCTCATGGTTACTTACTGTTGGAGTAATTGTTTCTGCTATTTTCTTTATGTTGGAGTTTGTTGTTGTTTACTTACTAAGACATGCTTCCTTTTTCCCATTTTTGCTCATTCTATTTTACTTATCAAAACGTTGTCGTTTTTGCTTGGGAACATGGATGCATGTACGGACGTGAGATATATCTCATCGTCTTGTTCCTTTTCTGTGTGTAAGCTCCATATATTTTCTCTGAAATAAGAAATGGTGTCCTCTTAAATTATCTCCCGTCGATTCAAATATTGATTTCAACAATATCAACAGAATTGCTATCGTCATGTTTGGAACCATGAATGTTCTTAATTCTTATTGCTGTGCATTCTGCCTTTTTATTTTTGTGCATATTGTGCATGCTGACTTGTGGATTATTTTGTTGTGCATGCTAGTAGCTGGTGCATGTTGGAGTTGTGCTTGTACATGCTGTTAATGAACAGAGAATATATTTAATTTCATGCTTTCTTCAAAATATTCGTGTAGGCATATTAGAAAAAAAACCATGAATTTATTTTGGATTGTCGCATTTTGTCCACTTATTTGTCTGTCAATGTTGCACAATTGTATTTTGATTTATAGATGAGTTAGAATCTTAAAAACTTTGAATGAAATAGTTGCAACGAATTAGTATAAGTGTCCTCTATTAATGAAATGTAATGTTCTTTGTTAACAGACAAAGCTTCCATCCCTAAGAGAAGACGTGGTCAAACAATGGGTAAGGGAATTATGAAAGCATTTCATGCCTCTGGAAATTGAAGATAGATGTGGATCCACTGGTAGGACGGCCCAAAAGTCGAGAGCAATCTGCAAAGCTCTCAAGTCAAATTGGTGTAGTAGCTCGAGATGTCCTTCCAGTGCCAAGAAAATGGAAAGAAATGGCTGAAGAAAATATGTTGGAACCAGGCATTGATCATATAAAGGTAGCTATAAAATAAGAATACAAATGACATGTTTTATTTTTCTTGTATATGTAAAAAATTGTTAAATGTGATGTTCAGATTCATATGGATGTCAACTTGGATGTACCGGGTGTGAGGCACTGCTTGGTTGATAGGTTGAAATCTACCTCTCGACAAATTCGTTACAGGTTACATAAGCATTAAAGAAAGTATGCAACCCCAGAAGAAGCTAAGAATAATAAGCCAACATTTTGTGCTAGTAAAGAAAATTGGGACGAACTCTGTGATTATTTTGCATCAGCTAAGTTCAAGGTAACGTCTCTTGAGATTGGTACTCTTCTTGATATATTTTGGGAATATTTCTTATGTTGCAATTTCTTGTTTTCAGCACCAAAGTTCAACTAACACTATGAATCGACAAATGTTAAGGACCCCGCATATATCTGGCAGAACTCCTTTTTCTACCCTTCAACATGAAATTGTAAGTTGTAAACATCCAATTATGTTTTACATTATTTACATATCCTGTACATTTTATAGTGACGGTACATTTGTCATAGATATTCTTTGATCATGACAAATTTATAGTCATTATACCTACATATATAGTGACAATTGTCTTTTGCGTCATGTACTTTTACTTTTCCATGATAGAATATATCGTCATATTTGATAAACATCATGTCATATAATACGAATTTTCTATGACTAAATATATCATCACCTTTAATATATTCATATAGTGACAAAGAATGGTTCATCATTAAAACGTACTTTTATGTGACATGTTCATTCGTCATTATAAATATTTTTATTGGTGACAAAGAATATTTCATCATTAAAATGTACTTTTATGTGACATGTTCGTTCGTCATTATAAATATTTCATTGGTGACAAATAAATTTTTGTCACTATAATACAACTCTTTTATGACAAATTATATTATAGATGACAAGTCTTATATGGAAATTGAGACAAACTGACTGTCATTATATTTTAATAAAGATGACGAAAAAATTAATTTTGTCATTATATGTGATTTTTCAGATGACGAAACCATATATGTTCGTCATATAAAGGCTAACTTTTAGTGACAATTAGATAATTTTGTGACAAAGATTTTATGATAAATGTGACAAATCAATCGTCACCAAATCTCACAAAGGTACAATGACAATACTAATGTTTATCACAAATACTAAACATTAGATGACAAATTGAAAAAATTGTCATATAGACCTAATATGACGCGGCTACAGTGACAAACTCTGTGACACTAAAAATTCGTCATAAAAATTCAGAAGATTGGATATTGTTGAAAGTAGCAACTCATCAAGGATTCTCAAGAAAATTAGAACAAGAACATGGAGGCTTAAAATCAAAGGGAAGCTGAAACACTTTGTCTGGAAGTGTTTTTCATAGTCCCTACCTGTGACGATGCTGCTGAGAAAGAGAGGAATGTTTGTAGATGGCATTTGTCAATCTTGTGGAGAGGAGTTAGAAACAATTGAGCATGTCTTCAATCAATGTAGCAGAGCAAAAGAGGTCTGGAAGATGGCTCCTGTGCAATGGGAATTTGCCATTGATGATGCCACAAAATTTAAAAACTGGTGGGGAGATGTGTGTTCAATTAGCAGAATTGAAGTTTCTAAAGCAAGAATAGAGCTCACAACGTATATACTATGGTGGCTTTAGAAAGCACGCAATCTTTGAGTGCTTAAAAAAGAATGGATGCATCAAATTGCATTATTAGGCTGGCAACAAGTGAATGGCAGGAATATGCTACCGGGATAAAATGAAGAAGCTGTGCAGTCAAGTAGAGGAGTCTAGGTTCATTTGATTTAGTGGACACCAATGTTGTACTCTTGTTTATTCATTTTCATTTTCTAGCTATGAACTTATCAGGTTGGGATTATGTTGTGCTGAGTTTCATGTAATGTGCAGTACTAGAGGTGACAGCTTAGCACTGGCTCTAGTATGTGCTTAACTTGGTTTGGATTTTGTGGTAGGTTATTGTTTGTGTTGTGTGTTAGAGCACTTTGTAGCAGTGACTCGATTGAATTAGGGTGAGTTGGCTCTCGGTTGTAATTCTGTACATTTTGTGCTATAATATCCTCTATCGTTTCGAAAAAATAAAATTAAATAAAAAATGATATGGCAAGATGGCTATAGATCAAACTTCTACAAAATATGACAAATTTTCATTTTTTTGCGATTCTACTTGGTTAAATAAATTTAGTTGTAGTCATATTTCTCTAGTAATTCATTTGTTACTTCTCTCTCACCTCAATTATTTCCTCTCAATGTAGAATGCCTCCCTGCCACTCGCCGTCCAACCATGAAGTTGCCGCCACCTCAGTCCGCCGCTCCGGCCAATTTGTTGTTGGTGTAGGCGAAGGCATCTGTAGCGCCCCGTTCGAATATTATTTATTGGCATTATTATTATTATTTGAATTTGAATTAATTATCTATATCGTATTATTTCTCGACATTTTTCATTTAGACTTATTATTATTTAATTAGATGTAGTCTAATTAAAATAATAAGTCGGGTAATTTTTTTTCCAATTCGTCGTCAATCGAATCGATCGGAAATTCTTGTTATAGCGTATATTTTATTTTCAGCCCATAGCGAATTATTTCAACCTTTATGCCAATTTAAATTTGGGAAATATTCAGTTATCCTACATGATTATTAAAATATTACAAAATTATCATTCATACATAATTAATTGTGTATATACCTAATAGACAATAATTAATTACATTAGTGCCTAAAAGATAACTTACATATCTTCATTCCTATTTGATAGGAACAAATCACGCAACCGTTCCTCTCCCAAAAAAACTCCTCTGAAAGTTTCCAAAATTCTGTGACCTTCCTCTGATCTTTCCCGTCACCGCCGATCTCCAAGCTACGACCACCCAGGTGCGCCGCGACACCATCACCATCATCTCGTCATCTCCTCCTCCGCCATCCTCCGAACGAGCGCAGACCAATCGCCGGCGAGCCCCTCCGCCGCGCAGTCTCTGCAAAATCTGACGCCGCGAGCCTCCCGCCGGCGAGTATCCTCCGAGTGGACCTGCGAATTTCGATCAGAACCAGCCGCGAGCCCTCTGCGACGAGACCCCAGCAACGCCACGACCCGCTCTCCTCCCACGCCTTGAGTCGCTGCCCAGCGCCGCCTCCATCTCGCGAAGAATTCCGGCGACCCTTGTTCACGCGTGAATTGCGGCTTCCGGCGAACCCTGTCACGACCAGACGCGGCGACCAGACGCGGCGACCAGCCTCTTCCTCATAGTTTTCAAATTAATGATTATTTCATAAAATGTTGAACAGATGAAAGTATATGTGCAGTATATTTTGGTATTTGTTCATGGAAATAAACTGCGTAGTTTTAATATATTTGGTTTATGTACAGCAGTTTATTTTTATTGTGCAGCATAAGTATATTTTTAGTTTATGTTCAGTATATTTTATCGTTATGTTTAGTTTATTTTTGGTTTATGTTCAGCAATATATTGTTTGGTTTATGTTCAGTATGTATATTTTTTGTCTATGTACATATATATACCTAAAAACATAAAATAAGTATGATACCTAAAACATTGGTCTATACCTCAAACAAATAGGTCTATATTTTTTGTTTATGTTCAGTATTCAGTATATATACTGAATATATAACCCATAATCTCAGTATATATACCTAAAATATAACCCAAAAAAATGGAACATATATTTTATATACATACAAAGAATAACCCATACACATGTTGGTATATGTGCTTATATGTACTTATAGATATACATCGTAAGTCAAAATAGATACGCTGTTTTTNACGGCTTCAATCCCAATTTTTTTTTTTTACTAATAACAGCCGGCCAGCGGTGGCTCTTGGCCGCGCGAATTTCGGCGGACAACCTCAATGGCAACGACGGGGGCGGGGAGTATTCGGGGACCTCAATTCCCAGAATATTGAGTTCGAAGAAAAAAACAAAACCATTCGAAACGGAGATGGAGAGGGACGAAGATGAGAGGGGAAGAGAGAGCGAGAGAATTGCGAGAGGGGGGAGAGAGCGAGAAAGCGAGACGGAGAGGGAGAGGGAGAGAGAGATTATCTTCTCCCGTAAAATCAGTAACTCACCTTAATTATCTGATTAATTAAGTATAATTTAAACCTTCAATATTTAGGTATATTAGCAATATTTTAGGCTTAGTTTGGTAATTATATAAATATTTATATAATGGAAGTATAATTATAATATAATTACAATGCTGAAGTAGGGGGTGTAATTTCCTCTTTAAATTTCAGCCCAAATGATTTATATTTGTTGGCCCTTTTGAGTTATATTTTCCAACCCTTTGGGATTAATTAATTTGGCCCATTTGAATTAAATTATCCATTGGCCTATTTGATTAGTTAATTATTCTTGGCCCATTCCCTTTATTTATCACGTGAGTAATTGTGAATTGAAGAGATAATTCCTTCCCCAGCAGCGACTCGTTCGTCTCTTTTCAAATTCTTGTAGCGATTTTTGAGTGAGAAATCTCGCACGTTCTCCTCCTATTGCATGTACTTAAGACCCAAGTAGAGATTCTTCCTCTTTCACCATTCATATTCACCGTTTTGAAAACATCAACCCGTTTTCGTTAAAAAAAAAAAAAAAATTCTCGCTTTCATTGATACCGGCGAACTGCAACTCGATCGCCGGCGTTCCCTCATCACAGTCCCATCGATCCGGCTGTCCCGTGCAGCCCCATCCCGTCCGACCTTGAGCGGCGAACCAGTCAGCCCAGCAACTCCGTTCGAGAATCGCCGGCAAAGCTTCGCTCACCATTCTTTCCGTTTAGCACTCCGGTGAGACCTTTTCCTGCTTCCGTCAGACCACAAAAATTGTTCGCGAGCAGCCTCAGTCCATCAGAGAAATCACAGCGGCAACTTCGTTGAGATTTCGAGCTCCAGTCGTCCCGTTCGTCCGACCCGATTTCCGATAACTTGTATTTCACGAAGACGGTTAACCTTTTTCGAACCTTCTCGTTATATTTCCATGCTCGTATAAATTCATTGATCATCTTAAGTGGTTTCGAGCTATGACGTTTGTTTTCGGTTCTATCGTAAATTTCGAATATTATTCGTGTGGACATATTGGAACTCTCGTTTATTGTATAAATCGAGTCTCTTGTTGTCTGTTGTGGTTATGTTGCAAATTCGGAGTTTCGTTTATTAATTTTGGAGTCTCGTCCTATTATTTCGAGCCCTGCCGTCATAGTTTTTCCTTTAGTCTAGTTTGCATGTTGTAGTTTCGTTTTCGAGCTAAGCCGGTTTCTTTTGAACTCTCGAACTCAGGAAGTATTTTATTTTTATTTTTATTTGCTTGAATTTTTTCGAAAAATTTCAAAACTCTATTTTCAAGTTGAAGTCGTCTCTGTCCTGGATATGTTTTTGATTGAAGTTACAGTCTGTTCTTTTCCTTGATCGAGGCCTGTCATTTACTTCATTCCATTAGCCAGATGACTACATTTAATTTAAGCCTACAAGCCCATTTGCTGCAGCCAAATTCCCTTAAAATCCCACAGCCTTTTCTTTTGTTTTTCACGGCCCATGAAGTTGCCCAGCAGCCCATTTCCTTTAATTCCAAAAACCGAACGCGCAACCCACTCGCAATAGACAGAAGAAAACGCGTAGGCCAATTGGTCCGCATACAGTCCGCGCGGGCCGATTCCCCCTCAGCAGTCCTGGCCCGCGTGTCACACCCCGCCTTACTACTAGCTTTTAAAAATCAGAGTAAAATTTTTGTTTTTATTTTCGAAAGAACGTGCGAGCTGGGTTTTCGAAAATACTGACTTATTGCGGGATGTGGCAGATAAAAACTTAAACTGAAACTTGGGCTTGCCCACAGACATAACAAAACATGCAACCAAACTGTCCGCTCGCGGATTATGGAATTATACATGCATAGTCTGTACTATCTCGCACTGTCTAGAAAAACTCGCTGGCGGAAGCATCCGAAATACGAATACATAACATGCGTACATAAACTGAATAAAATACACATGATCATAAATCTAGGACATAAAAATGCTGGTAAAATATGTCCGACTCTCATGACCACGCTGCGCCACATCTGTGCTCATCCGGCACGCTCGACTCCGTCTCCTGAAAAACACAATGGGGGCGTGAGCAAACCACTATGCTCCGCAAAGACCAGTACTGAACAAAACATCATCTATAATAACGTATCATGAAACATAAATATATAAGAGCTGAAACTGTAAACTGATCTCTGATGTCTGTTCTGATCTGTGGTCAAAAGACCCTCGGCCGTAGCCGCTCGTGTGCACACGCCGATGGGGTAGAAAGGGCCTCGCCCCTCCCAACGGTCATCAGGTGGGTATAAAGGCCTCGGCCACCCAACCCGGAACTAAACTGTCTCAAACATACCTCTGCCATGGTACAGATATTATCTATGATGTGAAATCCAGTACATGACCCCCACCTGAAAAACTTGAAATCTGGTATGCAAGTGCGGAAGCTGGAGTAGCGGTCGGAGGCTCGACTCTCCTTAGGCTACATAAATATTTAAGCAAAATAATGCTAAGTATAATGCTCAGAATATTTAATTATATGCTAAAATGCTCGGACTTATCTACGCGATTAAACTGGACTGGACTGGCTCGGAAAAATACTGAAATTTCCGGAACTGGACTCGGATCAGAAATCACGAGTCAAAACTGACTCGAACCGCCGGTCGAACCGGCCGGTTCGCTGGCTGGCCGGACCGCCGGCTCGACTGGGCCGGGCGGTCGGGCTGGGTTCGGCTAGACCGGGCTCGGTCCCGTGCCGGGCCAGCTGGTGCCCGGGCACGGCGCTGGGCACGGCTGGTGCGACCGGGCTCGGTCCCTGGGGCCGCTGGACATGTCTTGGCGCGGACTGGCGCTGGTGGGCACGGCCAGGGGCTGCTGGCACGGCCCGGGCACGACTGGTGCCCCTCGGGTGCGCGCTGGGCACGGCCGAGGCTTGGCTGAAGCCCTGTCGTGCGGCTGGGCACGGACTGAGGGTTGCTGGGGCGCGCTGGCGTGCACTGGGCACGGTACGGCGCGGACTGGCACTGGTCAGGGGCTACGCGGGCGCTGCCGGGCGCCCTGGAGGGTTCTGGGCACGCGGGCGTGCTGCTGGGCACGTCCCGGGCCGGCTGGGCTAGGGCAGACGCGGGACAGACACGGGCAGAGGCCACACGGGCGCTACTGGCCGTCCCCGAGGTCACTGGGCTCTCGGGCGTGCTGCTGGACACGCCCCGAGGCCGACTGGGCTCAGCTGACCCTGCTCGGGTCAGCCCTGGACTTGGCACGAGGCTCTGGCACGAGACCTCGTGCGCTGGGCTTGGCACGGACGCTGCCGGGCGTCGTGCGCATGGCTGGGCACGCTGGGTGCCATGGCCACGCGTGCTGGGGCTACTGGGGCTTATGCTTGGCACACGGGCACGCACTGGGCGCTGCGGGCGCTGTTGCGTGCACGCGGGCTGTGCCTCGCGCTTACCGGGCGCGGGCACTGGCTAAGGCTACCCTCTGCAGGCACGGACAGGCACTGGGGCCGGGCACTACCGCACTACGTGCGCGGCCAGTGACCAAGGCCGGCCCTTGCCGGACCTCCGGCGACTTTTCCGGTGACATGCAACTCCAAACATCATGATATGGTAAAATAAGCACAAATATCACATAAAACACTAGTGGACCCCGGGTCCACATGCATGACACTCGGGAGGGCCTAAATGGCACGTACGAGCAACTTACGTCCGAACGAACATTCATAACTTACAAAACTACTCAGGGCCGAATGTTATACATCACAAATGATGACTATAGTGGCTAACACTTAGGTCATAACATGCATGCATGAGGATGGGCCTCGGGTGGCCAAAATAGCGTATTTTCATGAATGAATTGACCAAGGCAATGAACTCCATTTATTCTCAAATTTTTACAGCATCAATGGTATGATATTTAAGGGTGATTTAACCAACATTTTCGACTTTGGCATGCATGCAACTAAAATTTTATTTTTAAGGCCATTTAATTCAAAAATTCGTAAATCATATATAATGACATGCATGGCTCGGTTTCTCTTCATGAAAAATCTTAAAATATCATAAAATAATTTTGGGAAGAAGTTGCCTCGGACTAACCTTCACCAAAATGCAAAAACGAAAGCTAGGGCTCAAATGGTGGCTAGGTGCGGCTTTTGGGTGTGAGCTTGACTTGGAGATGGTTATGGCCGAGCTTGGTGTACTCAAATGACTTATAAAAATCCAAGAAACACTTGGATAGTGATAAGCCACGAGAGATTATGCTTGGAGATGGCTGAGGCGTGGTGTGGCACTCCCCCGGGACTACACGCGCGCAAGGAGCTGCGGGTAGGGGCTCTCGGCCTTGGACTCTCTTCTCTCTATTTTTGCTGAACTCTCTAAGTCTTAAAATGTCAAAATGTGCAAGAGCCATCATCAAAACGGATTAGGGGCTTAAATAGGGTGATGGGCGGATATAACTAGGCTAATGGTGTGAAGTTCCCATTTTTTTAAAGTGTGGGGACATAGTGGTCTTGGGGGTTGAGTGTTGCACGGTCTTAGAGACCATTTTCAGAGTATAATATCATAATGGAGAGGTCAGGTCAGGTTTGGAGGTTGCATGGGGGACAAGGACAAAAATACTTGAATAAACTAATGTGTGCACATGCTTCACTTTGGCAAATGATGTGTTGACTTTCCCTTAACAATGCTTAGGGCCAAATTAGCTTAATCTAACCCTTATTAAGTCCTTAATAACCGCATGAGTTGGGTCATGGAGGATTTGGGCCGAAAACATATGAAATGGGCTCAAAATGTTGGACTGTCCCGCTGCCAGCGCTGGGCCTGGGCGCTGGCCCTGGGCGCGGCACTAGGCCTGGGCGCTGGGCTGGCACGGGCTGGCGCGAGGGCGCGTGCTGGGCTGCGCGGGTGAGGGCTGCTCGCGGGAAAAAGGGCTTGGGCCAAGTAAAATGGTTTGAAATGGCTCCCCAACACTTAGAAAAAATTTGCAAAGTGATGTTAAGGCATGGGGACATGCCCTTGGGCTCGGTGGCACGTTCCCGGGTGCGGCTCGAGGCGCGGGTGCGGGACTCGGCACGAGCGGCCTGGGTAAGGACTAGGGCTCGGTTAAAATGATCAATACTTATACTTTGATATTATTATACACTTAGAAAAATATTGTAAGTATAAAAATACCAATGCTTGGCCATGCTCGGAATTTACCTGAAAATTTACTCGGAATCAAACTAGGGTTCGGAGTCGATAAATTCTCGAATTGACATGCTATTATTTATCAACCCAAATTAATGGATTAATCTTAACTTATACTTGAGATAGAATTATTCAAAGAATAATTTATCATGTTTGAGCATTTAGCATAAATAATATAACTCGATAATTTCTAAAAATTACAGATTTCACTTATAGTCGAGCAGTGAAATCGTTCTGAATATTATTACTGTTTTGGGGCGTTACACCGCGAGCCCGCGTCCCAGCCCTCTCTCGGCCCGCAGATCTGCAGCCTTTGAGCAGGCCCTTTTTGAGCGGCCCAAATGGGCGTGCTAGGCCCAATCCGGGGCCTTTACGGCCCGCTCAGTTTTAACCTATTTTGAGTTCCAGAAGCCCTTTTTTAATACCCATCTCAATTTTAAAAATGAGAGAAATTTAAGAAAAATTATTTTAAATCCCGAGACTCTAATTTAGTCCTCCGAGTCCAATTATTCAAAAATGTGAGAGTTCCAAGTCCACGAAAAATCCAATTCAAATCCTTAATCATTCTTTTTGATTAAGTGTGAGGTATATGTTAATTCCGAGTAGTGAGATAAATTATTAATTATTATCTCACTTAAATGTAGGTGTCTGAGGAGTCGAGCCTCGACCTATGTTCCACTACTTGTTGTGTTTTGTTATCCCGGAATACCAGGTGGGTTTATTTAAAATGTTATGCTGTAAATTATGTTCATGTTCTATTTGTGGTATGATCAATGTATGCATGTGAAACATGTAGCCTTCGATGTGAGCTGTACCGACCGTCGAACGGTCGGTATAGAACGACCCCGTTGGGGGTAATCTCCTCTTTATGTCCTTGTGAAGGACACGTCGCTTAAGACCAGGGCTGTGCTCGGTCGGTGATCAGTACCCCGTTGAAAGACCAAGGCCGCGCTCGGTCGTCGGGGGAGACTCCTACTGTTAGGACAGTGTCATAAGACCTAGGCAGGCATATGATACGTAAGGCCTAAGCAGGCATACGGTACGTGGACAAGCAGTAGTCTATTGAGATAAGTGTGCACATGAGAACGAACTTGGCATAGGAGATTGGGATAACTAAATGATTTGTATACATGCTGCGATCGTACCATCTTATATTATGATTATTGTTTATTGCATAGTGGTGAGCACCACGGTTTCCATATGTGCTCACTCCCACCTGAAATTAACATTTCAGGTTGAGCAGGGCAGGCATGACGACGGAGTGAAGCGAGTGGTGGTCGGTCTTTATGACCTGATTAATTATTTGTTGCTTCCGCTATGATGAACTGATTTATGATTTTATGAATTTATGAATTTATGAACTCGAGAATATTACAATTTGAAATAATGTTGGGGAGATGTCCCATGCACACTGTGATGATTTTGAAAACCTGGTTTGGGTGATGGATGATTTTGGATGAACCCTTCATGGAAGTTGAATTTTATGATTGAATGTTATGATTTGATGCTATGTTATGAAAAAGGATTTTAAAATAAACAAGTAACGCCATAGACGTTTGAAATGAATTTTGAAAAATTTAAGTTGATTTATCTGAAAAGCCATGGATTTTCGTTTAAATCAAAGTGGGGCGTTACAGTGTGGTATCAGAGCAGGTGTGCGTTTCTGTAGACTGCTATATATGAATTATGTGAACTCTATGGAATATTTGGATTATATGATGTAGTTATGACCACTCGCTTCCATCGTGCCACGCCAACTCAGGTATGATTTCATAAGTAATTTTGAATTGCTTATGTGTTGCCTGAAATATATGTTATGATGTGATGTAAATTGAGGCTTAGGAGTTTATCCACCTGTTTTGAAATCTGTTGAACTTTAGAGACCTTAGTCTCGTACTAAAATGCCTGAATTAAATGTTGTAGAATCATGGCTCGAACTCGCAACCGTCAGGCCCAGCAAACTCCCCCGCGTCAGCAAACTTCCCCGCGTCAGCCGACACCCCCTCCCCGACAGCCTGCTTGTAATCAGGCTAATGATCATACTGAGATAGTGATGAAATTCCATTGGCTGACCCCACCAGCTTTCACAGGAGCCGAGGGGCCTACGGCTGTGTCTGAATGGATTCGCAAGTTAGAGAAAATCTTCAATCCTCTGCTCTGCACCGATGCGCAGAAAGTTGTCTGTGGCCAATATCAGTTAGACGGGGATGCTGCTATTTGGTGGTCCGACCACTGGAGTCTTAGGTCGGGTAAGTATGTCAATCACACTTAGGACAGAATGAAGGAGGTGGTGCTCGAGAAGTACAACCCCAAAAGTTACCAAAAGCAGATGGAGCGTGAATTCTGAGATCTCCGCCAAGAAACCCCGACAGTCGAGGAGTATGAGCGGGAGTTCACCAGCATGAGCCACAGACGTTTGAAATGAATTTTGAAAATTTTAAGTTGATTTATCTAAAAAGCCATGAATTTTCGTTTAAATCAAAGTGGGTCGTTACAGCGTCGTTGCCCATTTTGTGCCTACAAAATCTCTCCCGACCCTTTTGCGTGCGATAGCGGGCGAGATAGGACCCACTTCAAGCTCATCTTTTCTCCAGACGGTCGGAGGTCGCGTGCCACAGTTGAGGGGTGGTGTTGGTAACCCTATCGGCCGACGCTGTCAGCTTGTTGAGATCCGACTTGGTTTCTTCATATCTGAGTAGCCATTGGTGTATAGTGTTGGAGTTCTCAGATCCGAGATTCTGATCCTTTTTTCTGTTAGTTGGTCTTCTTGAGATGTTGGTGCTTCTTGATTAATTGAGTTGTGCTTATTCGTAAATGGGCAAAATTGCATATAATATCACGACCTTTATCGAGATTGCAAATTAATCACGACTTTTCGACTTTTGCACAGCATATCACGACCTTCATTTTCTTGCAAAACGATACACGACCCTCATCACCTGTTCAAAAAAATCTGACGTGGCGAACAAAAATACACCTCAATTGCTGAGTTGTATTTACCATTCGATTTTTTTTTTCCACCTCACCACGAGACGACGTCGTTTCGTCTGGCGTGGTAAATCCTTTTTTTTTTTTCCACCTCATCACGAAACGACGTCGTTTCTCATTCAATTACATTTTAAAATCAAAATCAGATTCTTTTTAGAACCCTAAGTCCTTTGGTGTTCCTCGATTCTCTCTGCGCTCTCAGTGAAAAATCGCAATTCTTTCTTCAAGCACAATTTCCGGCAACCTGATTATCATATTCTCGTTGTGCTCAGCCGACGACTTGATGCTGCAAAAATGGCGAACAGGTAGGATCGTAAACTATTTTTTTTCTTCTATTGTCGATAAATTAGGTTAGTTGTTTTGAAAAATAAGGGTTTTTTTTGGTTTAGGGTTAGGGTTTTCTTAATTATCCCATAATTAAGAATATATATTGGTTTACTTATGTTTATATGTACTTAAACCTGCTTTGCATTAATCTTCTCAATATATGCAGTGATTTATAAGTATTACTGTTTACGGTTTCGAGATTTGTTAAGTAGCACATAATTAGGATTATATAATGGTGTAATTATGTTTACATATACTTATACCTGATTTGCATTAACCTAATTTAGTAATTATATTGTTATATATATGCAGTTGTGACTTGATGCTTTTTATAAACCACTGTGGGCAGTTTGTAAAGGTTGGCAATGATTTTGAGTATTATGGAGAAGAGGTCACTTCAAGATATGGATTTGACAAAGATAGAATTGGTTATTTTGATTTATTAGAAGAAGTTCAAAAATTAGGGTACACTAAAGGAGAGAAACTGTATTTTAGGGCTAACAACAGTAGAAAGTATGTTCACATGCACAATGATGAGGGTGTCATGGAAATGCTTTCTATGATGGAACCTGGCAAGCATTATGTTCAAATATATGTTGATTCTGGTTCCACAAATGAAAGTAAAGGTGATGATAAGCAAAAAGGCATAGCAGATGTGCAACAAGCAGCTGATGATAATGTTTGTGAGGATAGCACAGATGAGGAGTATATTGTAGAAGAAAGTTCTGAATCAGATGGTCTCAGTTTAGATGAAATAGAAAGTTGTGAATTAGATGCACTTGGTTAACTTAGTGGAGAAGAGTTGGACCAGTTTATTGATAATTTTCATGAGGACAGCACAGATGAGGAGTATGTTCCAGAAGAAGAAAGTTCAGAATCAGATGGACTGGGTGGAGATGAATTAGGAACTGATGATGAAGAATACTTTGAAGCAAGGAGAAAAAGAGCTGAATCCAAAAAAGTTGCAGATGAAGAAACTGAAAATTTCACATTATCTTCTGAAAAGGGGTGTGGTTCCACAAATGAAAGTGACTTCCAGTCTCTGAGGGAAGATCATTCTGATTATGCAGACTCAGCAGAAGAGGTTTGTTCTGATTCTTCAAGATCAGGAGGGTTTAGTGGAGATGATGATGTCAGTCATAGGAAGAAGAAGAGAAATATGATAATGTATGATGCCAAGGTTGACCATAAGCAATTCAAGTTTGAACTTGGTATGAGGTTTGAGTCAGTCACTCAAATTAGGCATGCTATTCAAGAGTATTCCATATATAATGGTCACAATATCCAGATATGGAGACAAACTCCTAATCAGATTGAGGCAAAGTGTGTAGACTCATGTCCTTGGAAGTTGTATGCTAGCACTGTAAAGGCAGAAGGGAGAGTAGCCATCAAAACATTAATTTCAGATCACAAGTGCTCTAGGGACATGAGAACCAGACAAGCATCTGCAAAATGGATTGCAAAGGAATACCTTCAGGCATTCAGGAGAAAACAAAAAATGAAGATTGGAGACCTTGAAGAGATGATACTTGAGAAGTATGCTGTGCAACCATCCAAGTGGAAGCTGTACAGAGGCAAGTACAAAGCACTACAAATGTTGAGAGGCACAGAAGAGGAGCATTATTCATGTCTGAGGAGTTATCTTGCTGAGCTACTGAGAGTTGACAGAGAGGGTCGGTTTGAATTTCTACTTGATGAAGGTACTGTCTTCAAGGGCTTTTTTGTGGGATTTAGTGCATTAAAAAAGGGGTTTTTAAGTGGGTGCAGACCAATAGTTGGTTTAGATGGAGCTTTTTTGAAGACTGTGATTGGAGGGTGTTTGTTGACTGCTGTGGGGAAGGATGTAAACAACCAGATTTATCCCATTGCATGGGCAGTGGTTGATTCTGAAAATGAGGCAAATTGGAAGTGGTTCTTGAATATTTTGTTTGAAGAGTTTGGAATCAGGGATGGACTGGGTTGGACCTTTATTAGTGACCAGCAAAAGGTAACTAAACCACCTAATATAATACATAATTTATATTTTTCATTCCTGAAATATGAAAGTTATGTAACTTTTACCTTGTTCAAATGGATTGTAGGGGTTGATTAATGCAGTAAAGGATTTGGCACCATTGGCAGAGCATAGGAATTGTGCTAGACACATTTATATGAACTGGAAGAAAGAACACAAGGGTCAGACACTGAAAAACATCTTTTGGAGAACTGTCCATTGCACATTCCTTGCTGCATATAAGGAATCACTGGAGGAGATGAAAGCTGAGTGTCCAGAAGCACACAACAAGTTCACTGAGCAAGACAATTTCAAATTTTGTATGGCCTTAATCTCAGTACATCCTAAATGTGACATGGTGCTAAATAATGTATGTGAGACCTTCAATAGCACCATTGTTAGGGCTAGGAAAAAGCCTATTGTTGAAATGCTTGAAATGATAAGAACCTATGTGATGGAAAGACAAGTTCATAAACTGAATATGGGAAGTAGTCTCAGTGATACAATTTGCCCTAGGATCAGAAAAAAACTAGAGGAAACTAAGTACAAAAGTAGGTTGTGTGTCACCAAACCTGCTCTAGGAAACAAATACCAGGTCACAGAATTTGAAGACCAATTTGTTGTTGATTTGGGAGATAGGAGTTGCACATGTAGGCAATGGGACATAAGTGGTATACCTTGTGTCCATGCATGCTCAGCTATTCACTGGTTGAAAAAGGATGCCACAGATTTTGTATCCCCTGTATATAGTTGTGAAAGGCTTATTGCATCATACTCATTCCCCATGGAGCCCCTTAATGGGAAGCGGATGTGGGCAGAGGCTCCAGGGAATCCTATCAAGCCCCCACCATTCAGAAGAATGCCAGGTAGGCCCAAGATCAATAGAAAAAAAGCACCTGAAGAAGAGGCTAAGACAAGCTCAAGGCTGAAGAGGTTTGTCTTGCAAATGACATGCCAAAAATGTTTCCAAGTTGGCCACAACAAGAAGACTTGCACCAATGACCCAGCTCCAAAACCTGCTAAGGTTTATTTTGTTTTTAGGTATTATATGTTTTTATAGTATCTGAATTTGTGAACAAACCTGTCAATTTCAGAGACCTAGAGGTAGGCCAAGGATGATTAGAGAAAGCACAGGGGCAGGTGGAAGTGAATCCATTGCTAAGGTAACAGTTAAATTTTTTTTTTTTTTCTGTTTTTGCTAAGGTAACAGTTAAATTTATTTTTTTTTTCTGTTTGACATTATATAGTTTTCTAATTTTTTTGAAATTTTATGAACTTGTTAATTTCAGAGGCCTAGAGGTAGACCAAAGAACATGAGAGAATGCACAGAGGAAAGGGAACAGTCTGGTGTAACTTCCCATGCCCTTGTAGCTAGGAAAAAGAAAGCATTGGTACTTTGATGCATTCATTTCTAATTAATTGTCTTTCATTTTCTATTGTCTGAAATATTTTGATAAATATGTTTGAAATTTCAATGACAGGTGCTTAGACAAAAAAGAGTTCAAAAGAAATCTCAGAACAAGGAATTGGAAGCTGTGGGAGCTATAGGAACTCAAGAAAGTGTTGCCAAAAAGTGACAAACATTTTGTTGTGGACATGTGGTTGTGAACAAGTTCATGTGTTTCTTTTGTAGTGAAAAGGTTGTGTTGATTAATGTGTTTATGGACATGTTGATGTGAACAAATTTTTTGGGTATTAGTTTATGTTTTTGTGGACATGTGGATGTGAAGAAATTCATGGTTGTGGACATGTGCTAGTGGTTGTGGTTGTTCAGACATTATGTTTGTAATTTGGCCTACTTTTGCAACATAATGGATCAAAATTGCTTCATATTGATAGTGTTTGTTTATGTTCTTATGTTTGATTGTATTATGGGATGGTCATGTTCTATATGGTGTTACAGATAATACTTACTCCAGAAATTAGATCACTGAACAATGATGTATAATGGATCATGATGTTTTATTCAACAAATAATGTTCATTGAACAATGAAAATCTTGCTTATTGCAAACAAAACCACACTAACTTTGAACAACCAAAATCATATATAAACTTAGCTCATTGCAAACAGAACCTTGTTCTTGGTACAAACAAACACTACATGGTTAGTTGTCTAGCTAAGCATACAAAGCTACAAAAGACAACAACAAAGATAGCTAAATATTACCATCTTCTCAACAACATTGAACAACATATAAAAACAAACATAATATCCTTGTTCAAAGCTACCTAAGCATTAACTTCTTCTCATTAGACACACCAAAGAACCACATGGCTAACAAAAACATAATGACTAAAATCAGCCACTTCTTGTCAGATTTTTTCTCTGTTGCAATTCTTTTCTGAAGTTCAGCATTTTCCATTTTCAACAGATCCAACTCATTGGCTTTCACTTCTAATCTTTCAGACAAAAGTTTCTCCATCACCATTTTGCATTTCAATTGTTCCTCCAACACTTGAACTTGACTTTTCAGCTTCAAATAACTAGCTTTCTGGAAGGGTGGGAGCTCGGGATCAAACCAACGAAAAAATTTACAATCATCATCCTGTAATGTGCAATGAACAAGAATATGAACTTCAACACACACTTCAAAATTCTGTAAGAAAAACATAAATGTGCAGATATATTAACTTCAACAGAAATACGAGCTGCTTGAATGTGAAAAAAACAGTATATCTAGCTTTGATCTCCTAGCTTTCATCTCCTACAAAAAACAGGTAGTAACTCCTAGCTAACAATAAGACCCCTATTCTTGTCTGATTTACAACATACAAACTAACAAAAATTTTTTCATCAATAAGAACCCCATTCTTGTTTGATTCCCAACATAAAACACACAAAAACAAATTACAAGCTATATTTACGAACAAATTACAAGACATCCATCCTTATGTGAATCCTCAGAAAATACAAGCTATATTTTACACTTCACTTACCATTCGATATTTGCACCGGTAGTACCTCCTAGCCGGATTCAGATCAGTATGAGAGGTGAGAAGATCGGGCTCTTCTAAATGTCGACATGTTAATTTCGGAATTGCTGAAGTCGGGAATGTTGCTGCCGAACTTGTCCTCCTATATGAGTTGGAATCAGTCGACATAGTGTCGAAGTTGTCTTCTTAACAGAGCAACCGTCCCAATTTCTTCTATTGTTCTTCCTCAGAGCATTTCTAGGATTCTTCCTTCGCTCGTCAAATTAGGGTTCTAAAAAGAATCTGATTTTGATTTTAAAATGTAATTGAATGAGAAACGACGTCGTTTCGTGATGAGGTGGAAAAAAAAAACGATTTACCACGCCAGACAAAACGACGTCGTCTCGTGGTGAGGTGGAAAAAAAAAATCGGATGGTAAATACAACTCAGCAATTGAGGTGTATTTTTGTTCGCCACGTCAGATTTTTTTGAACAGGTGATGAGGGCCGTGTATCGTTTTGCAAGAAAATGAAGGTCGTGATATGCTGTGCAAAAGTCGAAAAGTCGTGATTAATTTGCAATCTCGATAAAAGTCGTGATATTATATGCAATTTTGCCTTCGTAAAGGTGTTATATATAACATCACGATACAAAGTTATAAGCTAGAAAAAATTACAACAATTTGCAAATTCCATTGATTTTTTTTTTTNTCCTTCAGTCTACAACAATAAATTCAAGGCAAAATTGCAATTTAATGCACCATCTTTCACAATTTTACAATTTAATCACTACTTTCAGGAATTGGCAATTTAATCACGACCTTTGCCTTTCTTTGCAAAACGAACCACGATTCACGGTTCCGTTTACAGAATGTTGACTTGGAACTGACGGAAGTTTTGAGGAGTTGACGTGGCCATGCTGTGGCATTGACGTGGCAATGCTAAAAGCTGAATCATAACTTAAAAACCGTAATCCCCTTCTAAATTCCAAAATCCCTAATTTCAAATGTTCGAAAATCCAAAAATTGCAGACGCGAGGAATTGGCGAAGCCCCATTTGAGAAGAAATTTCGTGTGTAATGGACGTCAGGTAGAGCTCATCCCCTTGTATTATTCCATGTGAGATGAAATTGTGGTGTTGTAGGCTATATTCTGGAAACTGAATATGAGAATGCAAATTCAAAGGTTCGATTTTCCAAACAACCATACTCTCATATGCAATCATATCGAGCCATTATATTTTCGAAATCGAAAAGCTTACATCTTGATTTGGACATCTGTAAAATTGTTGTGATGGGTTTTTCTCTGTGTTTGCAATCAATACATCTGCGATCAATCCATGGTAACACACTGCACGCCGAGTACAGTTCGAATCAGACGATATTGTTGCAGGTGAGTTTGAAGAAGATTTACTTGAAGCGAATTAGGGTTTATGTGCGAACGAAAATGAACAATTTTGCAACAAAATTCATGGTATATGCTATGTGCAAACAACACCGTTTATTCCAGCTAAGCCACATCAACCCCTCAAAACTTCCGTCAGTTCCAAGTCAGCATTCTGTAAACGAAACCGTGAGTTGTGGTCCGTTTTGCAAATAAAGGTAAAGGTCGTGATTAACTTGTCAATTCACGAAGGTGGTGATTAAATTGCAAAACTGTGAAAGGTAGTGTATTAAATTGCAAATTTGCCTAAATTCAAACCCCATGTATTAAAACCACGATATAGTATTCACTCTCAAACAATAAGGATCATACAACAATCACGCACACAGTCCCTTATTCATATAATCACAATATTACATCACACTTGAGTACAAATCTCAAACTTCTTCATCAACCGCGCGCATAATACATATCACACATAAATTAAAGATGCATAAACAGGGAGCTTGCGCAGATGAAATTCAGAACATATAAGACACTCAAATAATTAATTAAGGCTTTGGAAGATGGTGTGCCTCAATATCCTTGGTGACTTTAAGGGCAAATTCCATGAGAGTATGCGGATCTGGAACATCTTCACTCTTTTTCTCGTACTCGAAAGTCCACGTCACCAGGTTGTCATCCCCGCTGGTGTCCACGTGGACAATGATCTTCATGGTTTTGTAGAGCTCCATAAGATCACCTTCAATCACCTTGAAAGTCACCGACTTCTTTTCCTCATCAATTGCTTCTATTATCTCCTTTGCCACCCTCTCCTTTCCATCTACGCGCCATCAAATTAATTAATTCATAATGAAAATTACAACACTATTATCCAAAACAACATATATATGTATAAGAAGCTAAACAAAAATTAGTTAACTAATAGCACAAAGTGAAATAGTTCATTTTGTACTTAAATATTTTATATAAATTGGAGGTCCATACCATGGGTGTAGTTCCAGAAGATAACAGATCCAACCTTTCCCCAATCACCCTCATGAAGATCACATTTTTGAATGTGAGCTGGGCTCATGTCTGAAATGTGGTGAGGTCTCTCTCTGAAAATCTCATGAAAAACATCTCCATCGGATTTTATGTCTATCTGAGAAATAAGTTTCCCTTTCAAACCCATTTCTGGTTTTCGTATTTCTATAATTGATCACACAATTGATTGATCTGAGGCGAGTTAAAATGGCTACCTATTCTTGGCTTTATATAGTATACCAAAGACGTTTCCAGAATGTATATATGCTATTATTTTTTCTTAAACGAAAATATAGAAAATAAATGACAGGTTGCATCCACTTGCCATCATTAATGCGAAATACTACTACAGAAGCATTTACCTCTTCAGAGATTATATTCAATTATGAATTATTTAAGGGAGTCAATGATATTGTTAGCTATAACTATCAATTGATTTCAACCAATCGATTTTAATCATATACTAACAATATATCTCGTCAATCTACAGAAATGTAAATAAAATTTTATTAGTTGTATGCGTGATATTAAACTCATGCGTTACATACTAAATATCATATTTTTTTAAATGTTACCATAATTATAAAAAATAAAAAAGATTAATATAAACAATTTAACTAATATAGAAATCACTATATTGACTGCAATAATGCAGTTTTTACAGTTTTGATTGATTATGATCAATTAATTAAATAAAAGATATTAAAATCATTATTATACCAATTGTGTGCAAATTTTAAGATTTGGTTGCTTATTTTAATAAATATTACTTAATGAGTTTAAAAAATATAATAATATAAATTTTAGAAAAAAAAAAAGTTTTGCAATAGCATTTTTGTTATGTGTATTACATTCATACTAGTGTATATCCCGTGCGATGCACGGAAGAGTTCATATTTTAAACATTTTTTAGACTTTATTTTAAATGTAATTATTTATATTTTTCACATCTCGTCTATTATGAAAATAAAATAAATACAATCAGTGAAAAATATATAATATTAAATACTTTTCTTTATACAATATTTTTTTATTTAAGGAATATTATTAAACCTTACGGTTTTGATTTTTTTTTTAAATCAATAATCCAAAATATATGATTTTTAACGTACAAAAAATAATGGAAATAATCAAGACTTTAAAGTAAAGCTATTTTTTATTATTTTACAAATAAAGATCTTCCAAATTTTTTTTAATTTCAAAAAATTTTTGGCAAGTTTGATAATGAGTTAAATCAAGTTATACAAATGATTAAATAGTTAAAATGTTATATTAATTATATTTTAAGAAATCTGATTATATAAAAATGGGTAAAAAATATTATACTAATTAGTTTGTTAGGATTGTGATTATATGAAAGTTAAAATAAAATGAAATGTAACCAAAAAATTTGTTCGTGGTTTTTTCCTAAATTTTTGAATTTAAAAATCTAGTAACCAAATTTACATTATATCACGTAAGGAAAAAAATAAATAATAAATATTTATTAAAGAGATAAATCAATAATATTTATCACTTAGATAATAAATAATAAATATTTACATGTAAAAAAATAAATAATAATATATTTAAAAATATAAGTCAGAATTTCAAATAAAGTAAAAGGAGGGATAACTCACTTTTTAAAAAAAGTTTCTAAATATTTAATATATTGATAAGTATCTCCATAAGAATAATCATACCATTTTAATTTTAAAAAAATTGACAAGTTTGTTAGAGAGATAAATCCGGTTAGACAAATGATTAATTTGTTAAGATATTATATTAATTGTATCATAAAAAATCGGTTAGATAATGTAGATAAAAAAATATAATACTAATTAGTTTGTAAGAAATGTGATAATGAAAACCAAGATAAAATGAAATTTACCCAAAAAAATTGTTTGGAATCTTTTCCTTTAAATGTTTGAATTTACAAATTTAATACCAAAATTCTATTATATCACATAAGGAAAAAATAAATAATAAACGTTTATTAATATATTAAAATATGTAATTTTGAATTTCATATAAAGTAAAAGGTATGCTTATTCAAATTTATTTTTAAAATAAAAGTTATGATAAACATTTAGTGATTCTCTTTCAAATATATTAATAAAATAAAAATATAAATCTAAACAAATTTTGAAACAACCAAAAAAATCGGATTGATTGGCATAAAAAAAGGAACAACGAGTGTTAAACGAGATATGACCGAGATCACCTTCGCCCAGCATAAAAAAAGGAAGTGAAATCGGATTTGAATGCTAAAATCGGAACACCTTACCAAATTGAATGCTAAAATATTCGATTTGATTGGTTACCTAATTGCATGAGCTGAAAAAATTCAAAAAAAAATTTTACGAATTGAAGAAGCGGGAAAAACACTATATTGAAGCGGGAAAACGAAATGATTATTTTCGGATTGTTCAAATAATTTTTCTTCTCCGTATTATATAGTAATAGATTCTATTAATTAGGGTGACGTTATGATTAGTTGGCAGTAGTTATTATGTAATAAAATAAATAAATAAATTATTATTTGACTAACGCAATACAAGTGTGGTACCCATACGATGGGCAAGAAATAATATTTAAACATTTTATTGTATTGCAATTCAAAATATTACCATATTTTATACATCAATTTCTTCATCATCATTTTGGAGACTAAATTTGTAGAATTTTCCAATAAAATCATATTTTGCTGCAATTATTTCCTCCTCATTTGAATTGTAACTTATAATTACTTAACAATTATTACTAAAGTTTTATGAGTTGGCATTTTAATATAATTAGCAATTACATTAATTTAATTAAATAATCAAACATGAACAATTGCAAATTATTTAAAAATGATATAAAAATTTAGAAAAAAAATATAAAAATATATGAGTTTTGAATTAAGAAAATAATAATTTAGTATAGTCATTTTAAAAATTTATAGGTTTGGATTTTTTAATAAATTTTTTTATCTATTGATTTATTTCTGATAATTCAAAAACGAAAAAGTGTTTCTAAGTATAAATATACATTTTCATAAAAAATGATTAACTTTAAGCAGTTGAAAAATAAAATTTTGCATTAAATTAAATGAATTATCACATTTGGACCGACTTATTTTTTATTTTATCAAAGTTTCAAAATATAGTCCTAATTTATGTAGTAATTTTATTTTTCTACATCAATTGGCATTATGATTTGTCATGATTTAGTTACTAAAACATTTTGGTGATTAAAATATTTATGTAAACGAATTTAGAAAATGTGGACCGATTTATGTTTATTTTTCCTAAATAATTCTCCCATTATTTTTGTAGAGACTAAGATGAGTCAATACATTATGTAAATGTTAACTTATATTAAAATTAAGAATATTATTCGTTATATATATTTAAATAAGAATTTATCAAAAAAAAAAAAAAATTGAAAATTAAATGTCAAATAGAGTAACGAAATTATTGGATAGACAAATTTATCCTACTTTACGGCCATCATTTCACGGAAAATATTTCATAAATCAATCAAATTATTAAATCAATTTTCATTATAAAATTTTTTTGGGGTTTCCGTTATCAATGTGAGTGTAAAATTAGAAAAGTAAAGGTCGGAAGATAACAATTACTAAAAATATTACGGATTACATTCATCCCAGATTTGAATACCAAAATTAACTAAATTCTAGGGTAGCATTTAATGATTTTCGATTTAAAAAAGTAAATAATTAAAAATTACTATTTTTAGGCTGCATAAAATTTTTGACAGATTTTTTTGCTTACTATTTCTAATAAATGGTTATTATTATTATTATTATTATTATTATTATTATTAACGCACGCTCGCACACACCCACCGGCAACACACCGTCGTCACCCGCCGATCACCGCCAGACGCCCGCCCGCCACTAGACGCCTCAGCCATGGTTCTTCTCAGCCGTCGCCGCCCCTCATCCGCCGGCGATCTCGAAGACGGTCGCCTCCTACTGAAATCGAACACCGAAATCAACCATCTCTCCCGCTCGTCGTTTACCGCCGATCCTGTCCAAGGAGACAGACCGACGATGACGACTCTACTCGAACGGCCGGAACCCTCATCGATGGAGGACACCCAAATTGATCGACCACATCGCCCCGTCGAAACAAGCTCAAAGTCGGACCCTCCGACCTCCTATTCTCACAATCCGGTGGTCGGACCCGCCGGCAACCCTCGAAGGAAGCTGTAGGCGCGAACGTGAAACCTGGAAATCCGGCCAGCGAGGAAGACAGATTTGGGCTGGGTCACTTTTTTGAGAATTTGAAACTTTACAGGGGCCTAATTGCGAATTATATAAATTTAATAAATTTCAATTTAGTTATTGGGTCCAATTTATAATTTATCCAAAGTTTAATAATCATACAATAATTGTAATCGAATTGCACAATATCATATATGGAAATTGGAATTACACATAAAAAATATAAGCACTCCATCAAATAAAAAGTATGTTTAATGGTAATTAAATTGCACAATATCATATTTGGAATTACACATAAAAAAATAAACGCACTCCATAAAATAAAAAGTATGGTTCGAAATTATATGTTTCGATTCGATTATCTGTTATTAATTTCAGTTAAGTTATTTAGCTTCGATGTAACATTATTTTATTTTTATATAAAAAAATTTTAAATTTCATAAAAAAAAATATAAAATATAAAAATAATCAATGTACTTGTATAATAATAAATTATAAATTATTTAATTATTTAGGTTAATTCGATGTACAATTATATCTACTAAATATACAAATACATATTTTATATGTAGTGCACTTTACATATCATCACGGTGCACTTTATAAAAAAATACGTATTAAAATAATAAATTATTTTTTCTATATAATATTATGCACATGTATTAAATAATAAATAAAGTGTTAAAAAAATATAAAATATTAAAATAATGTAAAAATAATTTATAACAATAAATAAATTATGTAATAAAAAATATTAAATAAATATATATTTAATAATTTAAACTAATTCAATGTACGATTATATCTATCAAAGCTAGTGTTCGAATACACACAATTTATCTCTGAATATATTAATGCACTTTATATAGTGAAATGTTGCACAGTATAAAACAACAAGTTGTATTTTATAATACGACATGTTGCACTTTATCGCCACATTCAACAATTAATGTCCCCAGCTTCCGCCACAATATTTCGCAATATAAAATTAAAAAAACGGATGTTGTAACACCCCGCTTATCAGAGTAAATTTTTGGCAACTTTTATTTCGAAATTACTTATAACTCTTTCGAAATCTTTTTGCGAATTACTCGGAATGCTACTTAAACTCCTTCTTCCTAAAAATCTGTTTAACTTTAACTTTGTCTAATTATTTATTTTAGACATAATAAAACAGATTTATATATATATATATATATACTTGCATTTAACTATATCATGTTCATATTTATGAAATGATAAAAACTTGAAATATGAATTTATTTAAAATGCAAGTTCACATATTAATAAGCGTAGCGGAATTACTTAAAAACGTGAATAATTATACAGACTTATTTCATTTATTATAAATGATTTCAAAGACAAAAAGGTGGGGACCCTGAATGGGTAGCACATTGAGTACGATATGTGATATGGGATGAGGAGACCATCAGTTGTCTCAAAAAATTATATCCCGAAGTTTAAGGTTTATTACGCTTGGGATGAGGAGGCATTAATTTGTCTCAAAGATTATATCCTAAGTTCTGATGGAGGCGAGACGGGCCTGAGAAATATCCATCAGAGTGTGCACACGTATCCGATTAACCATCGGCCAGAGAAATGAAAGTTTACGTTTAAGTTACCGATCAGATATCGGTTCATGATTATCCATATTCGTTACTCACCCCCATGAGTTTTAGTTTCAGGTAACAGGTTAACGAGGAGGTGTGAGAAGAGCCGTGTGGTGTGGATCGTGGAAGAAAATGAAGACAAGCTTTAATGTGGACACTTATAAAGTTTGTATAATTAACCACGTTTCAAATATTTCTGCTACGCACATTAATTATTAAACTTGCATTTTAATGAATTTTAGATTTCAAGTTTTTATGAGAAATATGATGATAATATGTTAAATGCAAGTTTAAAGGAAATCTGTTTTAATAAGTCTAAAGAAGTATTAGATAACAGTTTAAAGATAAACGGATTTTCAAGAAGACGAGTTTAGTAGCATCCCGAGTAAGTTGCAATTATTTCGAAAAAGTTAAAGTGATATCGAAGTAAAAGGTTGCGAAAAAGTTACTCTGATAAGCGAGGTGTTACAGATGTACATAAAATTTTAATATCCATCACATCATTTATCCAAAAAAAAAAGTATGCTAACGTACCAAATTTCAGCATTGCACTTAATATATCATTACATTGCACTTTATAAAACAAGACATTGCACCTTTTAACGTATCGTGTTGCACTTTATAAATGAACACGCGGTTGTACCAAAAAATACAGTGATTTTTATAATCGATCGAATACTATTAGTTGGTTAAATGTCGGTTTTAGTTTTTTTAAAATAAACAGAATAATCGAACATGTTGAACTATGAATAATATATTCAAGATTGCACTGTAATGTTAGACGGATTGCACATTAGTGACTGTCAGATTGCACTATATCGACCGACCCCAGCTGACTTGGTTTTTTCTATTCGAACGTTATGTCGGACCGATTATATGTGTTTACCTTTACAATTTTAGTTAGTTCAGTTTGATGTAAGCTTTATTTTTCAAAATAATCGAACCGATCGACTATTATAAAAAAATATATTTTTTTGTTATTTATTTGTTTTAGATCTTTATAATGAACAATAATATAAAATATTAAATAAAATTTTAAGCTATTAAATGTATTTTTATAATATAATTTCTAAATTATTTCGATTATTTATGATAGTTAGCTTAACCGATCAAATAACCTGAATATTTCGTTTGATTTTAGTTTGATTTGAGGCAAGGCGCAAATAACTCATGCACAATGTGTGCACAATAGTGTAATACAAATTGCACGTTAATGACTATTGAATTGCACTGTACTTCTCGAACCCCATGTATTAAAACCACGATTTATTCACTCTCAAACATTAGGGATCATACAACAATCACGCATACAGTCCATTATTATTCATATAATCACAATATTACAACACACTTGAGCACAATCTCAAACTTCTTTATCAACCGCGCTCATAATATATATCACACATAAATTAAAGATGCATAAATAGGGAGCTTGAGCAGATGAAATTCAGAACATATAAGACACTCAAATAATTAATTAAGGCTTTGGAAGATGGTGTGCCTCAATATCCTTGGTGACTTTAAGGGCAGATTCCATGAGAGTATGCGGATCTGGAACATCTTCACTCTTTTTCTCGTACTCGAAAGTCCACGTCACCAGGTTGTCATCCCCGCTGGTGTCCACGTGGACAATGATCTTCATGGTTTTGTAGAGCTCCATAAGATCACCTTCAATCATCTTGAAAGTCACCGACTTCTTTTCCTCATCAATTGCTTCTATTATCTGCTTTGCCACCCTCTCCTTTCCATCTACGCGCCATCAAATTAATTCATAATGAAAATTACAACACTATTATCCAAAACAACATATATATGTATAAAAAGCTAAACAAAAATTAGTTAACTAAAAGCACAAAGTGAAATAGTTCAATTTGTACTTAAATATTTTATTTATATAAATTGGAGGTCCATACCATGGGTGTAGTTCCAGAAGATAACAGATCCAACCTTTCCCCAATCACCCTCATGAAGATCACATTTTTGAATGTGAGCTGGGCTCATGTCTGAAATGTGGTGAGGTCTCTCTCTGAAAATCTCATGAAAAACATCTCCATCGGATTTTATGTCTATCTGAGAAATAAGTTTCCCTTTCAAACCCATTTATGGTTTTCGTATTTCTATAATTGATCACACAATTGATTGATCTGAGGCGAGTTAAAATGGCTAACTATTCTTGGCTTTATATAGTATACCAAAGACGTTTATGCTATTATTTTTTCTTAAACGAAAATATAAAAAATAAATGACAGGTTGCATCCACTTGCCATCATTAATGCGAAATGCTACTACAGAAGCATTTACCTCTTCAGAGATTATATTTAATTATGAATTATTTAAGGGAGTCAATGGTATTGTTAGCTATAACTATCAATTGATCTCAACCAATCGATTTTAATCATATACTAACAATATATCTCGTCAATCTACATAAATGTAAATAAAATTTTATTAGTTGTATGCGTGATATTAAACTCATGCGTTAGATACTAAATATCATATTTTTTTAAATGTTACCATAATTATGAAAAGTAAAAAATATTAATATAAACAATTTAACTAATATAGAAATCACTATATTGACTGCAATAATGCAGTTTTTACAGTTTTGATTGATTATGATCAATTAATTAAATAAAAGATATTCAAATCATTATTATACCAATTGTGTGCAAATTTTAAGATTTGGTTGCTTATTTTAATAAATACTACTTAATGAGTTTAAAAAATATAATCATATAAATTTTAGAAAAAAAAAAAGTTTTGCAATAGCATTTTTGTTATGTGTATTACATTCATATTCTATTAATTAGGGTGACGTTATGATTAGTTGGCAGTAGTTATTATGTAATAAAATAAATAAATAAATTATTATTTGACTAATGCAATACAAGTGTGGTACCCATACGATGGGCAAGAAATAATATTTAAACATTTTATTGTATTGCAATTCAAAATATTACCATATTTTATACATCAATTTCTTCATCATCATTTTGGAGACTAAATTTGTAAAATTTTCCAATAAAATCATATTTTACTGCAATTATTTCCTCCTCATTTGAATTGTAACTTATAATTACTTAACAATTATTACTAAAGTTTTATGAGTTGACATTTTAATATAATTAGCAATTACACTAATTTAATTAAATAATCAAACATGAACAATTGCAAATTATTTAAAAATGATATAAAAATTTAGAAAAAAAATATAAAAATATATGAGTTTTGAATTAAGAAAATAATAATTTAGTATAGTCATTTTAAAAATTTATGGGTTTGGATTTTTTAATAAATTTTTTTATCTATTGATTTATTTCTGATAATTCAAAAACGAAAAAGTGTTTCTAAGTATAAATATACATTTTCATAAAAAATAATTAACTTTAAGCAGTTGAAAAATAAAATTTTGCATTAAATTAAATGAATTATCACATTTGGACCGACTTATTTTTTATTTTATCAAACTTTTAAAATATAGTCCTAATTTATGTAGTAATTTTATTTTTCTACATCAATTGGCATTATGACTTGTCATGATTTTAGTTACTAAAACATTTTGGTGATTAAAATATTTATGTAAACGAATTTAGAAAATGTGGACCGATTTATGTTTATTTTTCCTAAATAATTCTCCCATTATTTTTGTAGAGACTAAGATGAGTTAATACATTATGTAAATGTTAACTTATATTAAAATTAAGAATATTATTCGTTATATATATTTAAATAAGAATTTATCAAAAAAAAAAGAGAATTGAAAATTAAATGTCAAATAGAGTAACGAAATTATTGGATAGACAAATTTATCCTACTTTACGGCCATCATTTCACGGAAAATATTTCATAAATCAATCAAATTATTAAATCAATTTTCATTATAAAATTTTTTTGGGGTTTCCGTTATCAATGTGAGTGTAAAATTAGAAAAGTAAAGGTCGGAAGATAACAATTACTAAAAATATTACGGATTACATTCATCCCAGATTTGAATACCAAAATTAACTAAATTCTAGGGTAGCATTTAATGATTTTCGATTTAAAAAAATAAATAATTAAAAATTCCTATTTTTAGGCTGCATAAAATTTTTGACAAATTTTTTTGCTTACTATTTCTAATAAATGGTTATTCTTATTATTATTATTATTATTATTATTATTATTATTATTATTATANACAACAACACAGTCGCACGCTCGCACACACCCACCGGCAACACACCGTCGTCACCCGCCGATCACCGCCAGACGCCCGCCCGCCACTAGACGCCTCAGCCATGGTTCTTCTCAGCCGTCGCCGCCCCTCATCCGCCGGCGATCTCGAAGATGGTCGCCTCCTACTGAAATCGAACACCGAAATCAACCATCTCTCCCGCTCGTCGTTTACCTGTCCAAGGAGACAGACCGACGATGACGACTCTACTTGAATGGCCGGAACCCTAATCGATGGAGGACACCCAAATTGATCGACCACATCGCCCCGTCGAAACAAGCTCAAAGTCGGACCCTCCGACCTCCTATTCTCACAATCCGGTGGTCGGACCCGCCGGCAACCCTCGAAGGAAGCTGTAGGCGCGAACGTGAAACCTGGAAATCCGACCAGCGAGGAAGACAGATTTGGGCTGGGTCACTTTTTTGAAAATTTGAAACCTTACAGGGGCCTAATTGCGAATTATATAAATTTAATAAATTTCAATTTAGTTATTGGGTCCAATTTATAATTTATCCAAAGTTTAATAATCATACAATAATTGTAATTGAATTGCACAATATCATATATGGAAATTGGAATTACACATAAAAAATATAAGCACTCCATCAAATAAAAAGTATGTTTAATGGTAATTAAATTGCACAATATCATATTTGGAATTACACATAAAAAAATAAACGCACTCCATAAAATAAAAAGTATGGTTCGAAATTATATGTTTCGATCGATTATCTGTTATTAATTTCAGTTAAGTTATTTAGCTTCGATGTAACATTATTTTATTTTTATATAAGAAATTTTAAATTTCATAAAAAAAATATATAATATAAAAATAATCAATGTACTTGTATAATAATAAATTATAAATTATTTAATTATTTAGGTTAATTTGATGTACAATTATATCTACTAAATATACAAATACATATTTTATATGTAGTGCACTTTACATATCATCACGATGCACTTTATAAAAAAATACGTATTAAAATAATAAATTATTTTTGCTATATAATATTATGCACATGTATTAAATAATAAATGACAGGTTGCATCCACTTGCCATCATTAATGCGAAATGCTACTACAGAAGCATTTACCTCTTCAGAGATTATATTTAATTATGAATTATTTAAGGGAGTCAATGATATTGTTAGCTATAACTATCAATTGATTTCAACCAATCGATTTTAATCATATACTAACAATATATCTCGTCAATCTACAGAAATGTAAATAAAATTTTATTAGTTGTATGCGTGATATTAAACTCATGCGTTAGATACGAAATATCATATTTTTTTAAATGTTACCATAATTATAAAAAATAAAAAATATTAATATAAACAATTTAACTAATATAGAAATCACTATATTGACTGCAATAATGCAGTTTTTACAGTTTTAATTGATTATGATCAATTAATTAAATAAAAGATATTCAAATCATTATTATACCAATTGTGTGCAAATTTTAAGATTTGGTTGCTTATATTAATAAATATTACTTAATGAGTTTACAAAATATAATAATATAAATTTTAGAAAAAAAAGTTTTGCAATAGCATTTTTGTTATGTGTATAACATTCATATTCTATTAATTAGGGTGACGTTATGATTAGTTGGGCAGTAGTTATTATGTAATAAAATAAATAAATAAATTGTTATTTGACTAATGCAATACAAGTGCGGTACCCATACGATGGGCAAGAAATATTTTTTAAATATTTTATTGAATTGCAATTCAAAATATTACCATATTTTATACATCAATTTCTTCATCATCATTTTGGGGACTAAATTTGTAAATTTTTCCAATAAAATCATATTTTACTGCAATTATTTCCTCCTCATTTGAATTGTAACTTATAATTACTTAACAATTAGTACTAAAGTTTTATGAGTTGGCATTTTAATATAATTAGCAATTACATTAATTTAATTAAATAATCAAACATGAACAATTGCAAATTATTTAAAAATGATGTAAAAATTTAGAAAAAAAAATATAAAAATATATGAGTTTTGAATTAAAAAATAATAATTTAGTATAGTCATTTTAAAAATTTATAGGTTTGGATTTTTTAATAAATTTTTTTATCTATTGATTTATTTCTGATAATTCAAAAACTAAAAAGTGTTTCTAAATATAAATATAACATTTTCATAAAAAATGATTAACTTTAAGCAGTTGAAAAATAAAATTTTGCATTAAATTAAATGAATTATCACATTTGGACCGACTTATTTTTTTATTTTATCAAAGTTTTAAAATATAGTCCTAATTTATGTAGTAATTTTATTTTTCTCCATCATTTGGTATTATGATTTGTCATGATTTAGTTACTAAAACATTTTGGTGATTAAAATATTTATGTAAACGAATTTAGAAAATGTGGACCTATTTATGTTTATTTTTCCTAAATAATTCTCCCATTATTTTTGTAGAGACTAAGATGAGTTAATACATTATGTAAATGTTAACTTATATTAAAATTAAGAATATTATTCGTTATATATATTTAAATAAGAATTTGTCAAAAAAAAAAGAGAATTGAAAATGAAATGTCAAATAGAGTAACGAAATTATTGGATAGACAAATTTATCCCATTTACGGCCATCATTTCATGAAAAATATTTCATAAATCAATCAAATTATTAAATCAATTTTCATTATAAAATTTTTTTGGGGTTTCCGTTATCAATGTGAGTGTAAAATTAGAAAAGTAATGGTCGGAAGATAACAAATAGTAAAAATAATACAGATTACATTCATCCCAGATTTGAATACCAAAATTAACTAAATTCTAGGGTAGCATTTAATGATTTTTGATTTAAAAAAATAAATAATTAAAAATTATTATTTTTAGGCTGCATAAAATTTTTGACAGATTTTTTTGCTTACTATTTCTAATAAATGGTTATTATTATTATTATTATTATTATTATTATTATTATTATTATTATTATTATTATATATATATATATAGTCACGCTCCGGTGAGAATGACTCTTAATGCGAGAATGAGNTCGCACGCTCGCACACACCCACCGGCAACACACCGTCGCACACACCCGCCGGCAACACACCGTCGTCACCCGCCGATCACTGCCAGACGCCCGCCCGCCGCTAGACGCCTCAGCCATGGTTCTTCTCAGCCGTCGCCACCCCTCATCCGCCGGCGATCTCGAAGACGGTTGCCTCCTACTGAAATCGAACACCGAAATCAACCATCTCTCCCGCTCGTCGTTTACCGCCGATCCCGTCCAAGGAGACAGACCCACGATGACGACTCTACTCGAACGTTCGGAACCCTAATCGATGGAGGACACCCAAATCGATCAGCCACATCGCCCCGTCGAAAAAAGCTCAAAGTCGGACCCTCTGACCTCCTATTCTCACAATCCGGTGGGCGGACCCGCCGGCAACCCTCGAAGGAAGCTGTAGGCGCGAACGTGAAACCTGGAAATCCTGCCAGCAAGGAAGACAGATTTGGGCTGGGTCACTTTTTTGAGAATTTGAAACTTTACAGGGGCCTAATTGCGAATTTTATAAATTTAATAAATTTCAATTTAGTTATTGGGTCCAATTTATAATTTATCCAAAGTTTAATAATCATACAATAATTGTAATTGAATTGCACAATATCATATATGGAAATTGGAATTACACATAAAAAATATAAGCACTCCATCAAGTAAAAAAGTATGTTTAATGGTAATTAAATTGCACAATATCATATTTGGAATTACACATAAAAAAATAAACGCACTCCATAAAATAAAAAGTATGGTTCGAAATTATATGTTTCGATTCGATTATCTGTTATTAATTTCAATTAAGTTATTTAGCTCTGATGTAAGATTATTTTATTTTTATATAAAAAAATTTTAAATTTCATAAAAAAAATATAAAATATAAAAATAATCAATGTACTTGTATAATAATAAATTATAAATTATTTAATTATTTAGGTTAATTCGATATACAATTATATCTACTAAATATAATTTTCAAAATACATATTTTATATGTAGTGCACTTTACATATCATCACGATGCACTTTATAAAAAAATACGTATTAAAATAATAAATTATTTTTTCTATATAATATTATGCACATGTATTAAATAATAAATAAAGTGTTAAAAAAATATAAAATATTAAAATAATGTTAAAATACTTTATAACAATAAATAAATTATGTAATAAAAAATGTTAAATAAAAATATATTTAATTATTTAAACTAATTCAATGTACGATTATATCTATCAAAGCTAGTGTTCGGATATACACAATTTATCTCTGAATATATTAATGCACTTTATTTAGTGAAATGTTGCACTGTATAAAACGACATATTGCACTTTATCGCCACATTCAACAATTAATGTCCACAGCTTCCGCCACAATATTTCACAATATAAAATTAAAAAAACGGATGTACATAATACTTTAATATCCATCACATCATATATTCACACAAAAAAAGTATGCTAACGTACCAAAATTTCATCATTGCACTTAATATATCATTACGTTGCACTTTATATAACAAGACATTGCACCTTTTAACGTATCGTGTTGCACTTTATAAATGAACACGCGGTTGTACCAAAAAATACAATAATTTTGATAATCGATCGAATACTATTAGTTGGTTAAATGTCGGTTTTAGTTTTTTTAAAATAAACAGAATAATCGAACATGTCGAACTATGAATAATATATTCAAGATTGCACTTTAATGTTAGACGGATTGCACATTAGTGACTGTCAGATTGCACTATATCAACCCACCCCAACTGACTTGGTTTTTTCTATTCGAACTTTATGTCGGACCGATTATATGTGTTTACCTTTACAATTTTAGTTAGTTCAGTTTGATGTAAGCTTTATTTTTCAAAATAATCGAACCGATCGACTATTATAAAAAAATATATTTTTTTGTTATTTATTTGTTTTAGATCTTTATAATGAACAGTAATATAAAATATTAAATAAAATTTTAAGCTATTAAATGTATTTTTATAATATAATTTCTAAATTATTTCGATTATTTATGTTAGTTAGGTTAACCGATCAAATAACCTGAATATTTCGTTTAGTTTTAGTTTTATTTGAGGCAAGTTGTAAATAATTCATGCACAACGTGTGCACAATAGTGTAATACAAATTGCACGTTAATGACTACTGAATTGCACTGTACTTCTCGAAAACCGATCGACAATAAAATTTTTGATTCAAAATTTTATATTCCGATTTGAATACTTATTTTTATTTTTTAAAATATCTGTTATTTTGGTTTGATAACAGAATTATTTTAAAATGACTGAATTATTTTAAATGTAAATAAAAAATATTAATATATAATTATAGTATGAGTATTTATAAATTTGGCTAAGAACATATTATATTATAAATTTGGCTAAGAACATATGATTTATACTTTTTTCAAAATAACCCCAAAGTTAATCTAATTTACATAGATGAGCCCCACGAATCACAACTTCAACATTCCCAAAATCGTGAACTTCAGAAAGAGGGATGTTGGTACCGGCGTTGAACCAAGATGAACAATACTACCATCGCGACGTTTCCTGGCGGCCATTTCTATAGTATTTGAGACGGACTGCGGTGGAGGAGGGAGAATCGCGGCGGAGGAGGATGCATCGCGGCGGAGGAAGAATCGCGGCAGCGACGGGCCGGATTTGGGTCTGAACGACTAGCGGCTGCTGGTGGCTGTGGCGGGTAGCAACAGGCGGAGATGTCACCGGTGGCTGTGGCCTGGTGAAGGAAGCTGCGAGTTCTGGCTCTGGCGGATCTACTAACGTCGGCCGCTGTGCGTGTGTGTGTCGGTCGCCGTGTGTGTGTTTGTAGAAATCTGAAATCGGGGCTGTGATGAAGAAAGAGAGATAGTGGTGATGAAAGAGAAAATATTTTAATAAATGGTGTGTAATATCCCTTTTAGTTATCTCAGTTATTATGAGTTATTGTTCCAAGAAATAAGTGATTTCGAGTCCAAGATAGTAAGTTATCGGACCGAAATTAAGAATTTTCAAGGAACAAGCCACACGAGTCGTGTGAAGAGACACACGAGTCGTGTGAAGCCACACGAGTCGTGTGGAGAGGCACACGAGTCGTGTGGGATGGAGACGTGATGAAAGTTAGCCTCGGGATTTTGACACGAGTCGTGTGATGAGACACACGAGTCGTGTGAAGCTACACGAGTTGTGTGATATAGTACACGAGTCGTGTGAGAAGATGAATGATTAAGAGCAAAAGTGTCGGCAAGCCACACGAGTCGTGTGGCAGGGCACACGAGTCGTGTGAGGCCACACGAGTCGTGTGACTCCCCCACACGAGTCGTGTTGCCGACAGTCCAATTGGATTATTGAGAATTCGATTGTGACTTTAACCAAAGGCCATTTTTGATGTTTAAATATGCTTTGGATGGATGAATAAGTAAATCATAAGATATTTTAAAGATTATTTAAGTTTATAAGTTAAATTTTATATTATGATCATTTAATCACTCTATTTGGATGTTTCTCCAATTTGTGCCTATAAATAGAGGCTTAAACCTTAGAGTTTTTACACCAAAATAATTACTAAAGTCATATGAGTTTGTGAGAGAGAGTGAGAAGGAGTAACTTTGGAGAAGTAAGGACATTAGAGTGAAGAATCAAGTTTTTAACTTCACCTAGAAGGAGGTAATTTACTTATCTTAATGTTTCATATTTGAGTTCATGCTTTTATGATAAGTTTACATGTTTATGAGTATGTATATCATGATGTAGAAGTTGGAGTTTATAATTGATAAAATGAGTTAAAGATGTTAAAGATCAATTATGTGATATATGTGCTTAATGAAATGAGATGTTGATTTGCATGAGATTTTCATGAAGATATGAATATGCTGGAAAAGTATGATTTAAATGAATAATTCTTGTGTAAAAGAGGAGTACATGAGATCAAGAATTGAGTGATTTGGCATAGTATAACTTAAGTTATGAATTTTTGAAGATGAACATGTAAGATGAAGTTTATGTTCACTATGACTTTAAATTCTCATAACTTGATGAATATGAATGATTAAATTATGAAATTTTGATGACATGTCTATTTAGAAGTTGAGATTATGACTGTTAAATTTCATAATTTAAAGATGAGAAATGAATGAGTTATGAATATGAGATGGCATATATGTGAAGATGAGTATATATATATGCAAGAATATTCATGAGATGATCAAGATATTAAAATGAGATTTTTATGATCTATTCTCATATGAGTGATGAGTAAATTTGATGAAGATGGTTTAATATGTTGAGCATACAATTTTATAAAAATTGTATTAAGTATGGCATATTAATATCATGATTGGATGTGATGTTTAAAAGATGAATATGATTGAGTTTAATTTCACTTTCAAGATGTAAAAGTGAAAAATGAGTATGAGTAAATATGAATGATTTGGAGAATATGATATATGATGAGATTGATTGAGTAAAAGATTGAGAAAAGTTAATTTGAGAAATGATATGATTATTGAAATTTCTATAAGATTTGAATAAGTTATCCGAATGAATTGAGAAAACCGAGCATCTTATTGAGTAAATGAGCATAAGTACTTAGTATATTTGTTTATATATTTTTATGTAGCTTGAGGAGGTTGCTATACGAGAACAACACTTACGAATTTACAAACGACGAAAGGTGGGGACCCAGACTGGGTATTACATTGAGTATAATATTGATATCATGTCCGAGGTATGTAAAAGTTTAAGTTTATACGCTTGGGAAGAAGGCTGATGAGTTGCCTTACGAGTATTTCCTAAGTTCTAATGGAGGCCGTTGAGTTGCCTGAGAAATATCCATTAGATTGTGCACAAGTATCCGATGAGATATCGGTGAGATGAAGTTGAGATGCTGGAAGAGTTTTAAGTCCAGTTATATACCGGAGATCATGATATTGTATTATTATTGCTGTTTACTTTAGTATGGGTGTTTTTCGGGGTACAAGAGGATCGTACTCACCCCCATTGTGTTTTTCAGGAAACAGGGTCGGGCCGGAGGTGTGAGCTCGAGACGTTGTGGTGATGGTTGTGTCTTTCAAAGGATTTTTATGAAGCATTCAATAAAGTTTGTATAATAAATCACGCTTTCGATTATTCCGCTACGCACATTGAATATTGAACTTGCATTTGAATGAATTAATGATTTGAAGTTTTTACTAATTCGAGAAGTATGAATATGGTTAAATGCAAGTTTAAA